CTCACAGAGGGACACTCCTCCCACCTCCTCTTCTGGAACTCTGTCCCCCAAAAGCAACCTCTCAGGGACACAGAGCAGGCCTGCGGGTTCTCAGGGGACATCCCATAGCGTCTCCTCCCCTCCTCCAACAGCTCTCCACACTGGGACACCCAGGTCCTCCACAATGAGCTCTTCGACCTCAGTCCTCACCACAGTTCTGCCAGGAACCACACAGACATGGAGGACAGGCTCTCTGCCCATCACCAGCCCATATCCCAGTACCACTGCCCAGAATCATGACAGGCTGGCCACTACCCGGGCTGCTCCAACTCCACACACAACTCATGTGTCCACGAACACTGCGGTGACACCTGCAGGAACAACCACAATGGCAACCCAGGCACACTCCTCTGCCTCTCCACACTCACTTCCTTCACAGGAGACCGCTGTACAGTGGAGAGTCAGCCCTGGGCCACAGACGTTTCCGCACTCACACTCCACCCTTCTGGGGAGCACTTCCTCTCACACTCCATTATCTCCAGGAAACCCACCTTTGCAGGAAAGCAGCCCTGCACAATCCACAAAGGTGACCCTGGTCAGTGCCTCCAAGACCCCTGGAGCCTCCTCCCCAGGAGAATCCACTCCCCCCTGGCCTGGATCTCCAGCCCTTTTGCTCCTCACCAGTGAGGGGGTTATCTCTCCATTGTCGGGAAGCCCAGAAGCATCCACTCCCTACCCACCTGGGTCTCCAACACCCATCTTCCTCACCACTGGGAACCATGACCACACCTTCTCCAACACTGTCACACAGCCTGTCAGCCAGGAAGTCTCCACTGGGACTCGCACTAGGACCATCATGCTGGAGGTGTCCAGGGACCTCACTCCCAACACAAGCTCTGAACCACAATCTCAGAGGGCTGAACCACAGTCTCTTCCATCACTCTCCACTGGTTCTCAACCTACCATGACCACCTCGGCATCCAAGATCCTTTCTACTGTCACAACGTCCCTTGCACCTTCAGAGAAGGCAACCCCTTTCAGTAGCTCTTCTAGCCCAGTCCCCCCTCAAAGCACCCTTTCTGTGCATGAAAGTCAACCTGTGAGTTCTCTGGGGACATCTCATGTTGAATCATCCCCTCCTCTTATACCTGTCAACACTGAGTCACCCAGGACCTCTTTCACTGGTCCTAAGATCTCAGTCCTCACCACCACCCTGCCAGGAAGCATGCGTCCATTGGGGACAAGCTCTTTGCCCATGGCCAGCCTACCTCACAGTGCAAGCTCCGCATATGAGAATGTCCCCACTTCACTGCATCCCTCCCATTTACGCACAGTGTCTGTTTCCCCCGAGGTGGCCATGGTCAGTGCAGGAACCAGCAGCGATGGTTTGCAGCGCAGCTCTACCGCCTCTCCTGTGGCCCTTCCATCCATGTCCTCAGATGCAGTGCCCACTCTCTCCGGTCACTCTCCGACTTTGTTTCTCACGGGGACCTCCTCTCCATCTCCTGACCATGTTTCCTCCCTAAGCATGTCATCCCTCACCTCCTCCAGATCCTCACCAGAAACCCTTCCCTCTTCTCCAGCCACCACACTCTTACACAATAATTATGCTCCCCCCAGTACCGCGTTGGCTCCTGCGTCTCCCACCCATTCTAGGCAGGAGTCTCAGTCCTCTCTGTCATGGGACTCAGAGCTTTCCACATCAACATCTCCCAGCGCTACATCTTACACCACAATGGAGACCTTTATTTCCACATCAAAGCCTAGCTCCTCTGAGGTTACAAGTATTCAGATGGAGTCATTGTCTACCCTTCCCCCTGGATTGACAAAGTCCAGCACCTCGGATCAGACCAACTCCTGCACAAATACAAGCTGTCTCCTTCACAGTGTACCCACTGAGGCCAGTTCTGTGTTCTCCCAGACAGACATCCTTCCCTCTTCCAGAACACCCATCCCTTATCCTTCTCAGTTCACTAATTCTCCAGACTTCTCCACTCGGACAATAGCCAGGCTCTTCGCCTCCTCCACCAAGACAGATTCTTCAGAAGTAACTATCACCACCCACACAAGTCCTTCTCAGGATACAACACAGGATACCCTTACCTGGGAGACATCAACYACCAGATCCTGGGCAGGGTCCCATTCACCTGGCCCTGCCACTATGTCCATCATTGCAGGGAACTTGCCTTCATCCACTTTTATACCATTATCCTCTTCTGTCTCCACTACGACTGGCTCTTCAACCAGCCCAGCCCTCCCTCGGATTACTTCCTCTCCCACTACCCATCTTGGGACAGAGAGCATCCCTACTGAAGGATCCTTGATGACACTCAGTGTCTTGGAGTCCAGCACGGTGCCAGTCAAGACCTCTGTATCACCCACTTTGAATATCAGAGCCATTGAGAGTATTGACTCAAAAACAGATACAAGTGCTTTCGCAGTTCCTCCACCCTCCACCCAGTTCACAAGTAAGGACCTATATCTCCTACACACCCACTCATGAGAGGATCCTAGGAAATAGCACTTTCCTAAGAGGGAAAGGGAAAATAATGAGGAGTATTTCCTGTACCTGAATTTCTTTTTGCAAACATCTGTTAATCTCATTTCCACTCCAAGCGCTGGGCTAGGCATGGGGAAGCACAGGTGATAAGCAAGTGGTGGAAAAATTATAACCCATGACAGATGCTCTGCTATTGCTACTACTGATGATGATGAGGAGGAGGAGGATGACAGCTAATGTTTATAGCATGTATTCCACATTAAGCAGTTTTTCATTAAGGTTTTAAATCCTCATTGCAACATTATTTGGAAGGGGGGGGCTCTTCACAAGCCTCTTTTGCAGAGGAAGAAGTTGTGAGATGCAGAGAAGTTACCTGCTCAAGGTAACAAAGATGATAAGTTACAGAACTAGAATAAGAACTCAGACTATGTAGCACTAGGAATCCGTGCTTTTAACCCTCAGGCTAAACCAGAATGCTCGGAGTTAGCTAGAAAAGCCAGAGATTCTAGGATCTCTGAAGCCACAGGAGGGTGTCGTTTTTTCGGGAGAAAAGAGAAGTTCTGTCAAATGCTACTAAACGGCAGGCCATGTTGAAATGGGACGTGAACTGTTTTTGGCAACATGGGGATCCTCAGAGATTCTCATGAAGGGTATATCCCTGAGGTTAGGATGGGCGGCTCTACAGGCAGATGGATGGGTCTGTGGACAGGTCCCATGCAGAAGGACATGAGGGGCAGAGTGATGACGTGGACACACGTGGACATGGGCTCCTTCCGGGTGAGATGAGTGACCCCAGTTTTCTCCCTACCCTCTCCTATAGAACCCGAGGACACTGTGGAGCGGCACACAAAGAAACCCAATGGAGCGGCCCCCAGAGGCACCGCGGGACCCATCGAGGGCCCTCTGGCAGCCACATCACCTGCTGGTTCTAAAGGTAGGTTTGACTGGTTCGCTTCCTAGAAACCCCACCTGTGCCCCGGCCTCCGACTCCAGCCACGAAGCTGACTTCTTTGGAAGGAGAATCATGTGTGACTGTCATGATTCTCCCTGTCTCAGCTGGATCTTTGTCTCATGGTGACTGGGTGGATGCTACCACTTTTCTTCTCTTCAGAGCAATGCTGAGGGTCTTTAGTTCAAGGTCAGAGATGTTCAAGGTCAGAGAATTTGACCCGGTTTACCTTAATTCTCAAGACCTCTACTGATAACTCACGGCATGCCGGACACTCTGGTATGAATCAAGGAAGTGCAGGATGAAAACATTTTGGTATTGCATCCATGAGAGACGGCAAAGGAACAAAATAACTACGTTGTAAATTTAAACGTCGGCCATGAAGGCACCCTGGAGCCACAGAGGGAAAGCTTCACAGAGGAGGGAACCTTTGCCTTGGGTTGTACAGGATGAATAGGAGTTTGCCAGGAAGACAGGGGGAGTGGAGGAAGACCTACTAGATGCAGGACAGAGCGGCACATTAGGCACAAAGAGAAGTGAAACCCAGGGATAGCTGGGTATGACTAAATCCTAGTAGTGATGATTTGCTCAAGTATGAGATGTATGTGGTCAGTGGGCGATAATGCTGGAGGTGGGGACAGAAAACCTCCTAAGCCTTCGTAATACTTGGCTACCTCCGAACAAAAGGTCAAAGAAGTTTGTGGTCCAAGAGGTTTAGCGTACATATTGCTCCTTCTTAGCGTGGCCGCGTGCACAGGCATAATAAAAGCTCTGAGCAAGTCCTGTAAAGAAACCTGTTGAGCTTTGTTCAATCTGGGCTTTAAGAAGGTTAGGTGACGGCATCATCTTTTCCTCTGAAAGACGCTTACCACTCTGCGGTATTATTATTCCGTGTAACTGTAAGCGGTACAGGTGTACTTAGCAGGGGTCCTCCTCACCAGGTGGTTAAAGGTAAAGCTTCCCATATCCATGAAGTTATTCCCAAATTGTTCAGAAACCAGACTATTTTTGTCAACCCACTTTTTCCAAGACAGAGTCACCTCCGAGCCTCGCTATGGGTTTTCTCATGGGACCCAAGCATCTTGGGTTGGGTTTCCCCAGAAGCAGACCATGGTAGGTCAAAGAAACAGGGATAAGTAGTTTGTGTTCTGTGGCGGGTGGTCCCAGGAAGCCCTGGTGGAGGAGACAGAGAAGAGAAGGAGGCAGCAGAAGGGACAGCCCGAGCAGGTCACAGAGCACCAATCCCACTAGGATCTCTGAGGGGCAGTTCCCTTGGCATGTCCCCTCCAGAGGGCCAGGTGGCTGGGGTATCCGCCATCCCACTCCCCTCTGTCAGTGGCTGTGAGCTGCTTACTCCTGGAAGGGATGACAGCCCTGCGGGCCTGCCCACACCGGGGCTGAGTGACCTCTCTCGGGCATGGAGGCACAGAGCTGTAGGAGGGACACTTTGGGGGGCTCTCCTGCGGCAGCCAGTGCTTGTAGGATCAGCTACATCGATCAGGTCACTAGAAGAGGCTCACCAGCCTTCAGGTGGTGACCAACACTGAGAGGGCAAGGTGTCTGTGGGGCAGTCAGCACCCCCTCATTTAATGCAAAGTGGGGTTCCTCGACCTCCGAGCTACTGGCATTTGGGGCAGGAGGTTCTTCCTAGTGAACAACTTCCCTGTGTGTCGTGGAATAACTAGCAGCGTCCCTAACCTCTACTCCACAGGAGTCACAGCCCAGGATGTGACCATAAGGTAGGGCACCACCCTTTTCCATGCCAGAGTCACCCCACCCACATCCCAGGGAATACATGTCTCTCTCTCTTTCCTCACATAAAGCTATTTGCAGTCTGGTAAGTGTGATGATTTTGACTGACTTGTGGGTCCATCCCCCAATTCACAGGTGCAGCCACAGGGAGGACAGGAAGAGCAGAGACCACACCTCTGCAGACCACCGCCATCCCCTCTTTCATCACCTGGATCTCCATCCCCACCTCAGAAGACCTGAAGCTCCAGCTATCAGGGGAAACCATCAGCGCAGCCCCAGAGGCAGCGGCTTCCTCGGCCACGGGTCTTAGAGAACCTATCACCAGCACAGCTGTGCCCGGGACAAGCCCCTCTCTACTCAACAGAGAACCAGAGGCCACAGCCTTATTGGTCCCCAGTCCAGGGGCACAGACCAGTTCAGCTGTCCCAACTCTGGCTGCGTCTTCTACTGAGTCAGATTCAACAGCCTCACAGGTCACCCAACCTGAGATACAGGCAGGTCACTCCACCTCAACCCCGCCCGTCTCTTCGGGTGCATCAGGACTGGAGGCCTCTCTGACCACTGGTTCCGAGGCAGTGACCACAGCACCTTTCTCTAGAACCAGCCCTAATTTTCCCCAGGGTCAACCACACCTCCCTTCCTCAATGGATACCAGTACTGGGACAGAATCCGCTTCTGCCGTTCCAACAATGACTGCATCGCCTGACAGACTAGAACTGGTGACCTCACAGCTCCCTAGCTCTGGGACAGACACCAGTTCAACTAGACCAACTCAAACCCCTTCTGATAAACCAGGGACCACAGCCTCTCTGGCCACCAGCCGCGGCACAGCGAAGATGCCAGCCACTCCAAATCCCTCCATCTCACCGGACGTATCAGAGGGGGCAACGTCACTGGTCACTAGTTCTGGCAGAGAGACAAGTACTGCTCCTCCAGCTCCCACTGCTTCCCCAGGTCACCCGGATACCTCAGGGGTCACCCAGGCTGAGACAGAAGCCAGTTCCCTTGTTTCAGCAGAGACGATTTCCCCTGGAGAACCAGATACCACAACCTCACGGCTCACTCACCCTGCAGAGGCCAGCACAGCAGTCCCCAGGACCACCCGAAGTTTTTCCCAAGGTGAATCAGATACCATGCCCTCAACAGCCGCCGCGCCTGGAGAAGAAGCCAGTTCTGATATCCCAGCCACAGGGGTCCCACCTGATATCCCAGATACGGTGACCTCACTCGCCACTCCTTATACATCAGTGACCGTTAGGAATATTCCAACCCTGACGGTTCCAGCCGGTGAGCCGGAGACCACAGCCTCATTGGTCACCCATGCTGGGCCACCGACAGGTTCACCCGCTCCAGCTCTGACCGTCTCCCCTCGCATGCCAGGGACAGGGACTGCATGGGTCACCGGTTCTGGAGCTCAGACAAGTTTGCTTCCAACTCGGACTCTTTCCCCTGACCAACCAGAGACCACAGCCTCGTGGGTCACCCGTCCTGGGTCAGAAGCCAGTTCTGTTGCCCAGACTCTGACGGCTTCACCCAGTAGGAGAGAGACCACAGAGTCATTGGGCCTCCATCCTACGGAGACCAGCCCAGCGGTCCCCAGGACAACCGGAAGCTTTTCTCCTAGTGAATCAGATACCACACCCTCAACAGCCCTTGTTCCTGGGGAAGAAGCCAGTTCAGCTGTCTCCGCCTCCACTGTGTCACCTCAGGTGCAAGAGGCAGTGACCTCACTGGTCACTAGTTCTCTGACAGTGACCAGTACAAGTCCTCCGAGCCTGGCTCTTTCTTCTTCTCAATCAGATACCGCAGCCTCACCGGTCACCCAGACTGGGGAGCAGACCAGTCCAGCCGTTCTAACTAGGACTGTCCCTCCTGGTGGAAAAGGACTGGTGACCTCACTGGTCACTCGTTCTGGGACAGAGACAATTACAACCACTCCAGCTCTGACCCTTTCCCCAGATCGACTGGGCACCACAACCTCGCGGGTCCCTCATCCCGGGGCTGTGGCCGGTTCAGCTGTGCCCACCCCGACGGTTTCCCCTGGTGAGCCAGCTGCAACAGCTGGAGTCATCCGTCCTACAGAGACGAGCCCGGCCGTCCCCAGGACACCCCCAGCGGCCTCCAGTCCCGGGACAGAAGCCAGTTCAGCTGTGCCAGTCAGGACTGAAGCACCCGAAGACACGGTGACCTCCCAGGTCACTAGTTCTGAACTACCAGCCAGGATGACTCTCCTGATGACAACTCTCTCTCCCGGTGAACCAGAAACCGCAGCCTCATGGGCCACCCCTCCCAGGGCACAGACAAGCACCAAAGTCCCTGCCTCGACTCTTGTTCCTCCTTTATCAGAGACCACAGCCTCCCTGTCCATCGGACCTGGGGCGGAGGTTAGTACAGGGATCCTGACTCACGCTGCTTCACGTGGTGGACCAGAGACAACAACTCCTCTCTCCTCCTCGCCTGCGACCGAGACCAGCAGAGCTAATCCAGGCCCGACTGTGACAACGGGTGCTCCTGAAGAAGCAGCCTCACTTTCCACCCACCCCGGGACAGAGACCAGCCACACTGTTCCAGCCGTAACCCTGTCCCCTGGTTCAACATCAACCCCCAGCGCCCCCAGCCCCTCAGCAGAGGCCAGCACAGGTATCCCAGCTCCGACCGTTCCCCCCAGCGTCCCCGGGCTTGCCACTGCCCCTACAACAAGTGAGCCCCCTACGGTGACCTCCTGGAGCACAGAGACTTCACTGCCTGCAACTTCAGTTGGACTCCCAGGTATTTCCAGGACTGTCACAGATACCACTATGACCTTGATACCATCAGAGAGCCCAACATCACCTACAGCCAGTCATGGAGAAGGAGCAAGTCAAACCACTACCCTGAAAGCTACCACTGAGGGGACCCCTCATCTAGCTGCCGCAGATTGGAGCTCCACAATGGCTGACACCAGAATCACCTTTGGCACACTGCCCGGAAGGCCCTTTAGCCCTCTGACCACACCCGCGATGTCCACCTGGGGCCCTGAGAGCATGACTCCAGGAACAGGTCAGAAAGAGTGACTTCTCTTTGTTGTAGTAAAATACGTAGAGTACCCATCCAGTTTGCCCTTCTAAGCATTTTAGACGTAGAGTTCAGCAGCATTCATTACATTCTTACTGTGGTGAAACCATTACCACTGTTTTTAAAACTCGGATCACCCCAACCTCTGTACCCTTTCTGCAATCACTACCTATTCCTGCCAGCCCTTACCCCACAAATTTGCCCCTTCTGGATAGTTCATATCAGTGAGATCATACCACATTTTCCCTTTTGTAATCTGGCTGATTTCACTTGGCATAATGTTTTCACTTAATTGGAATAGAATGTCCCCTCTTCTAGCTCTCTGTGAAATCTATACCAGGTTATCTTGAGCTCTAGTCACCCCACTGAGCGGTACAACACCAGGGCTTTTTCTTTCTGTCTCTGTTTTTGTATCTGTTATTTAATTCTCTCTGTCCTCTCTACCCTCACCCTGCCCAACCTCAAGTTGCCACCATCTTTCACTCAGATTGAGTGTTTTAATGGTCGATTTTAGTTGTACATAATATTGGGGTTCATTTTGACATAACTGCACAAGCATGGAATCTCACTTGCTCTAATTCAGTCCCCAGTGTTTTCCCCGGTTCCTCCCCTGCCTCCTGGACCTTCCCTCTACCCACTGCAGACAGACCTCCTTCACACCCACACGGGGGAGAAAGAGTCTGTCGCACTCGTCTTTCCCCGCCTGGTCTACCACCTAACGTAATGTCCTCCAGGTCTTTTTTAAAAAATTTTTAAATGTTTTAATTAGTTATACAGGACAGTAGAATTCATCTATGCACTTTGATAGATCACACATAGATGGGACATAATTTCTCATTTTTCGGAGTGTACATGTTGCAGAATCACATTGGTCACACAGTCACATACATACAGTAATAATGTCATTCCACTGTCTTAACTATCCCCACACCCCCTCCCCTCCCCTCCCATCACTTCCCTCTACCTAATCTAAAGTCACACTATTCTTCCCTAGTTCCCCCTGCCTTATTGTGAATTAGCATCCACAAATTAGAGAAAACATCCAGCCTTCGGTTTCTTGGGATTGGCTTATTTCACTTAACATGACATTCTCCAACTCCATCCATTTACTGGCAAATGCCATAATTTCACTCTTCTTTAAACCTAAGTCATATTCCATTGAGTATATATACCACATTTTCTTTATCCACTCATCTATTGAGGGACACCTAGGTTGGTTCCATATTGTGAATTGAGCTGCTATAAACATTGATGTGGCTGCATTACTGTAGTATGCTGATTTTAAGTCCTTTGGGTATAAACCAAGGAGTGGGATAGCTGGGTCAAATGGTGGTGCCATTCCCAGTTTTCTGAGGAATCTCCATGTCCTCTAGTTCTTTATGTCAGAGTAAGACATCATTCTTTTCCTCAGTGGAGGAAGACCATGAGTGCACACCTTGTTTTCTTTATCCGTTCGCTCGTGGATGGGCACTAGGCTGAGTATCTTGGCTCTGTGGACAGTGCTGTGATAAACATGGCCGTGGTGATACGGGACGTGGGAACCCTCTCACTTTGAAAACTGAGCCTGCGCCCAGGAGTTCATGCCTTCCTTAGCAAACTGGGACGGTTGTCACCTTGTGTAGGAAGTTCCTGGCGTGGGAACTCATGAAGCAGTTCCGCAGGACAGACCCTCTCTGGGTACCAGAGCTGAAGTTCGTCCTCAGAGCCCTGCCTCCCGCTGCTTCTGCCCGGGACTGACAGTGCTGCCCTCTTCTCCCCTCCCCCATGCAGCTGAGGTCCCTTTGACGGTGTATTTTACTATCAACTTCACCATCACCAACCTGCCCTACACGGAGGACATGGGGCTTCCAGGCTCTGGGATATTCAATGCCACCGAGAGGACCCTGCAGCACCTGGTAAGATCCCCTCCCCGGCAGCCACTGCCCTGCTGCCTTGGCCCCTCCTGTTCATCTCTTTCTCCTTCCTCCCCAGCTCAAGCCCTTGTTCAGGAACAGCAGTCTCGGCTCCTTCTACGCTGACTGCAGGCTGAAAATGCTCAGGTGAGACCCCCTTCGTGGCCAGTGGCAACCTCGATTCCGTCTTAATTCTTGGCCCTCCACATCCTAGATAGCCACAGCTTCTCGGACTTTTGCTGAGAGGCAATATAGACTAGTGGACCCCAGGCTAGACTTTGAGCCTGTGCTCTTTCACTTGCCAGCTGTGGGACATCGGGCAAGACCTATACCTTTTTGTTCCTCAGTCACATTATCTACAGAATCTTGATAACAACAGACTCTTTCTCTGAGGCTTGTTCATTATTCAGCACAGTGAAATAAGCCAGATACTGCCTGGTCCAGTGTAGTGCCTGCTCTCGCTTAATTGGAGCTCATGGGGATAGCCAGTGTAGCATCTTGGCCAACGCCATGCCCAGAACCCCGGCATCTTCCCCGACCCAAACCATCTCTGCAGTTTGTTCCCTGAAAAAGAGGCAAGGACATGCCCAAGTCTCACTAAAATAGTGGAAAAGGAAGCAAATGTTGAGCTGACGCAGGAGATCTTGCAATTGAAATAATCTTCAAGGGATCTAAACACGGCAGAAATAGGCTGCCGTCTCTGCTCTGCCTGGCTCCTTTGTGGTCCCTGGGGCTCAGCACCCTCCCCTTACAGCTTAAGTCCCTAAGGCGTCTCCATGGAGTCCTCCATCCAATCAATTTGGATCATCCTGTCAAAAGGGAGGGCTTACCACCCCATCCTGTGAGTGGAGAGATTGCTGGAGCGTCATGGATGGGAACTGTCCTCACTGAGCTCCACCTGTTCCTCCTGGCCCCCTCCCTCCACAGGTGGAGGGAATCAGTAATCATGGCATGGCCACATGCCACCCTGGGTCTAGTGCCTTACATGTTTTCATTTAGTCCCCAAGGATGAAAACCACACAAGTATGATCCCACTCTATAGATGAGAAGACTGAGGCTCAAAATAATCAAGTTACTGCTTGAGAAGAGCCAAGACTGGAGCCCGAGTGTCCTGGTTCAGGAGTCCTTGCTCTTAACCAGGATTCCAGCAGAGCTCAAGGTCACTGGGGTCAACACCTTTTGCACTCTTTTTTTCCTACCAGCCTTAATGACCCATTGTGGACATTTAAGGTGTATGACCTGATAATGTGATGTATGTAGACATACCGCAATTCATCCAATAATCACAATTCGGCTCATTAATATGTCGACCACCTCTACATAGTTGTACACGATTGCTGAGGAAGTTTACTTGAAGATCTATCTTCATAGCAAATTTCAAGGGTACAATGCAGTATTGTCAACTATCATCAACACGCTGCACATCAAACCTGCAGAACTGACCCATCTTACTACTAAAACTCTGTAGCCTTTTACCAACATCTCACTGGCCCCTCCTAACAAATTAACATTCTTAAAAAGTGCTCAGAAAAAAAAATTTAATTAAAAAGTGCTCAGAACTCCAGAGAACTTGGGGGTTCTGCCCCCCCCCATATTTGCTGTATTGAAAATTATTAAAGCTGATATATTTTATAAGTACTTATTCATTCATTCAACATAATAAACCTAATGCAGCCATCATTAGCATTCATGGAGGATTTGCCCCAAGATCCACAAGGATACCAACATCTGCAGATGCTCATGTCCCTTATATAAAGTGGCAGAGGATTTGCATAACCTACGCACAGCCTCTCATATCATCTCTAGATTGCTTATAACACCTAATAGAATGTAAAGACCAGGAAATAGTGGTTATGCTGCATTGCTTAGGGGAAATGGCAAGGGGGACCATCTGAACATACTTAGCACAGATATAACTTTATGTATGCATGTACATACTGTGGGGCTGGGGACCAAACCCAGGGCCTCATGCTGGGTCAGCACTGCACCACCAACCTGTGTCCTCAGCTCTAGATGCAATTTTTTGAAAAAGTATGTTTGATCCAAGATTGGTTCAATCTGCAAATGTGGATCTCATGGATATACAGACCTGACAACTCATATTAATGCAAATAATGTATTTTTAAGAACAATAGCCATGTTTTTTTTTAAAATAGCATAAGGAGAAGAGAGGTATTGTTTACGTTTTTACCAAACTTTGCAATGTCTGGCCTAGAAGAAGATGGCTAGATATATGCTTCTGCCTTCAATCTGTTTGAATATTTTAGCTTAAGGGGCCCCTGGGGGGGGAAAATCACTGTAAACTCCTGAGTAAATGAAAAAGGAAAATGATGTCTTACCTGGTGGGCTCCTTGTAAGTCTTTTGGGGACACCAGGAGTCCCTAGACCACACTTTGAGAGTAGTAATACACTCATGGGCATGAGTGAGAAGAAATGCTTTGAGCATCACAGATAACAGCAGCAGCATTCCCAACCAGGACAGGGCTACCTCTCCACACCAGTACAGCTGTCCCCTAGTGGGCATCTCAGACAGGTCAGCTTAAACTCATGACAAAGATACTGTGGAATGACATTGTCTCACTGCTTCTTTAAAAATAAATTAGTTTTGCATCTATGACTACAATGCACTAATGAAAACATAAAAATCTAGATGATGCAGAATATTGTATTTATGGGGTATGATGTGATATTCTGATACAAGTACATAGTGTATAATGATCCCATCAGGGTAATTCCACTTCCATCACTTCCAACACTTATCATTTCTTTGTACTGGGAATATGCAAAGTCTTCTGGCTATTTTGAAATATGCAATAAATTATTGCTAACTGTGGTTCCCTTCCTGTCCTGTGGAACACCAGAACCTATTTTTTTCTTACCCAGTCACCAATGTCTCTGTCTCCATCCACCTCTCCCCACCCCCACCCCACCCTTCCCTGCCTCTGTTAACTCTATTCCACTCTCCACATCTCTGAGATCAATATTTCTTAGTTTCCACGTATGATTTGAAAATGTGGTATTTGTCTTTCTGGCTCATTTCACTTAGCATAATGTCCTTCAGGCTCATCTTGTTGCCCAAAAGGACAGGATTTCATTCACTTTTATGGCTGAATAATAGTGCATGCACGTACGTGTGTGTGTGTGTGTGTGTGTGTGTGTGTGTGTGTGTGTGATATTTAGGTTGATTCTGCATCTTGGCTACTATGAACAGTGCCGCACGAGACCATCTCTCCCCAGTTAGAGGCTATAATCAAACAGACAAAAGAAAATAACAAATACAGAGAAAGAGGAACTCTCATACACTTTTTTTTAAAAAGTTGTTTTTTAGTTGTTGATGGACCTTTATTTTATTTATTTATCTATATGCAGGGCTGAGAATCAAACCCAGTGCCTCACCTGTGTGAGGCAAGCGCTCTCTCACTGAGCCACAGCCCCAACCCTCTCAAATGCTTTTGGTGGGGATGTAAATTAGAACAGCTCTCATGGAAAACAGTGTGAAGTTTCCTCAAAAAACTAAAAAGAGAGCTACTCTATGTCCCAATAAGGCTTCCTAATTACTTATATTGTTTTTTTAATGCCGTTATACATGTTCTCTCTCTCTCTCTCTCTCTCTCTCTCTCTCTCTCTCTCTCTCTCTCTCTCTCTCCAAACTTAGTTGCCTACCCAGAGGTTTTCCTGAAGGGCTGATGAGGTCACCCTGTCAGGCCCCATGATGGCTGTTGCCCATGCAGCAGCCATGGGGAGATGGCCCACATGCCCATGTCCCCATTCTCCTTTCCACAGCCTGGTCCCAGGCTTCTCAGTTCCCTCTCGGGGAGCTCCACCTCCCAGCCCCACGGCCCAGGCAGGACTGGGCTCTTCCCGGAGTGGAGGGAGGGAGTGTGGAGGGGCTGGGGGTGGAAACATAGAGCCCGGGGGAGTTATAAGAAGAGCCCAGGGAGCCGAGCAGCCCTGGGGGGGGGGCTACATTTAAAGAGGTGGGGCCTGGATCCCCAGACGAAAGAGGAAAAGAAACAGTCAAAGAACCTGGGCAACCCAGGCCGAGGTGCTGACTAAAAGACCAGGGGTACAACTGGAGGCAGCGGGGCGGAGTCTCCAGCCCTGTGCCCATGTCCCTCTCTCCCCAGAGCCGAAAAGGATAAGATGAGCACCAGGATCGACGCAGTGTGCAGCTACTATTCAGGTCCCACAGGCCCCCGGCTGGACAGGGAGCAGCTGTACTGGGAGCTGAGCCGGCTGACCCACGGTGTCACCCAGCTGGGCCCCTACTCTCTCGAAAGGAACAGTCTCTGTGTCAATGGTGAGTAGCTCTGCTCCAGCTGGGGGTCCCCAGGTCCCTGGAGGGTCTTCCTGCACTGTGGTTTCTCCAGACTCACAGACGAGTCCCGGGCCAACCTAGAATGTCCATGGGGGCTCATTCTTCTCCCCTCAAAATCTTAAAAGGATGTTTTTTATGTAAATTTTTTGTTTATATATGACATCAGAATGCATTACGATTCTTGTTACACAGATAGAGCCCAATTTTTCATATCTCTGGTTGTACCCATAGTATATTCACACCAATTCATGTCTTCATACATGTACTTTGGATAGTAATGATCATCACATTCCACCATCGTTAATTACCCCCTGCGCCCTCCCTTCCCCTCCCACCCTCTGCCCTATCTAGAGTTTGTCTATTCCTCCCAAGCTCCCGCTCCCTATCCCACTATGAATCAGCCTCCTTACATCAAAGAAAACATTCGGCATCTGGTTTTTGGGGATTGTCTAACTTCATTTAGCATTATCTTCTCTAACTCCATCCATTCACCTGCAAATGCCATGATTTTATTCTCTTTTATTGCTGAGTAATATTCCCTTGTGTATATATGCCACATTTTTTATCCATTCATCTAGTGAAGGGCATCTAGGTTGGTTCCACAGTTTAGCTATTGTGAATTGTGTTGCTATAAACATTGATGTGGCTGTGTCCCTGTAGGATACTGTTTTTAAGTCCTTTGGATATAGACCAAAGAGAGGGGAGCTAGGACAAAAGGTAGTTCCATTCCCAACTTTCCAAGAAATCTCCATACTGCTTTCCATATTGGCTGCACCAGTTTGCTTAAGCTGCACACGAAGATTCCTTCCACATTCATTCCTGTGCCCATTCACAGACCCAGCGGGAGCAGCACATGGCATTAGGGAAGGAAGAGGGTAAACCAGCCCACGGTGGCTGTTGAGGTTAGCTGTGCCCCTGGAGCCCCCAGCTTCCTAACCGCAGTGATTGGTAACCTCTTCCCCTCCTGGACGGCAGCCTGGGATCCTTCATTCATCTCCAAGGGCTAGCTAGAACTACACCTGCCCTGACAAACTAACCTCAAAGCTCTTTGCAATGCTAGTGTCCTGTGCAACAACGCCTTGGGCAACAGCATCAACAGTAACACCTGTAAGAAAGACTAATCATTATTGAGGAATTCCTATGACCCTGAACTTCACATACAAAGTCTAGTGGTCCTACCCAAAACTCTATGCACACTATGTCATAGAATCCTCACTCTATGAGAAGCACAAAAAAAAAAATGGAAGTGGTTAAGGGTAGAGAATCCCTCTGTAATGGATGAAGAAAACACAAAAAAGGCTAAGCACACATACAATGCTGTCTCTATTATTCATTTAATGAGTTTGACATTATTCCAGGTACACACTAATCCACACACACAATAATGAAGGGGYCCTCATTGCTGCTATCTTTGTGATTAATGATAATGAGGATAATAATATTGAGAGCAACAGAGTACAAGGCAATTAACTAATAACAGTAGATGTTATTTATTGATGAATCTCAGAGAGAGTGCTCAGGAAGATGGGTGTCTTGAATTCTGTTTTGACTTCTGCTTCTCACCCATTTTGATTTGTTTTTTCTTTCTTTTTAATTGACACCAAATAACTGCACGTTATATATAGGGTGCAGTGTGAGAATTCAGTCCATGTGTGTACCATGTAATGATCACATCAAGCTAATTAACATTTCCATCTTCTTATCATTTCTTTGCATCTGAAGCCAATGGACACCTCTCTTTTGGTGCATCATAAAATAATAGTTTGTAATCTACCGTCATCCTACTGTGGTGTAGAATGTGAGAACTATTCTTCATATCTAACTCTATTTATTATTTATTTAATTTTTTGGTACCAGGGTTTAAACCCAAGGACATTTAATCACTAGGCCATATCCCCAGCCCTTTTTTCTTAATTTTTACTTTGAGACGAGGTCTCACTAAGTTTCCTAGGGCCTTGCTAAGTTGCTGAGGCTGGGGGTCCTTGCAACCCTGCTGCTCAGCTCCTCCAGCTGCTGGGATTACAGGCGCCCGCCACTGTGCCCAGCTCATATCTAACTATATTGAGATGTTTACTATCCAATGGCCCTCTACCTCTACCCCTCCCAGCCTCCAGCAATCCCTATTTCACTCTCTTCCTCTTTGAGATCAACTTTCTTGGCTTCCACATGAGTGGGAAAATGCAGGACACGTCCTTCTGTGTCTGGTTTATTTCACTGGACATAATGTCCCCAGGGAAATACAAATTAACCCACAATAAGATAGCATCTCACCCTGATGTACGACAGGTGAGACTGGAAACCCAGGAATTAAGAGGAAGCAGGTTTAGTGGCTGTGTAGTCCAAAGTAAGGCTCATGCCTAAAAATATCCTAAGGATCTGGAGTCTGAAAATTTTTGGAACTTTATACCCAATGGTGGGGGTAGGGGGCCATGGAAGTTTACATTTTTGTAGGAGTCTACATAAAAGTATTCTCTCTTCTTTTTTTGAGTTCACATAAAGTGCTTTTTGTCCCATTTTTTAGATTAGTCAGAGGTTTTTACAAGACATCATCAAGTCTGCAGCCAAACCTAGCTTTTGCAAGACAGAGCAAATTAGTCTTCACAAAAGCATAGGAAGTCCTAACCCACATTGAGTTTTTTGGCATAAATTTTTGCTAATATTCTGTTAATAAGAACAATTCTGGGGAGGGTTTCTGGAAAAGCTTAATTAAGACTCTTTGGTGGAGGAAGGGGCATTGCTACAACCCTAGTTGGAATGAATGGCTATTTCCAGAAAAGAAAAAAGAAAGTGGTGGTAAAGGTATGGACAAAGGAAAACTCTTAGGCACCGTTGATGGGAATGTGAAGCACATCCATTACGTATGGAGAGTCTTCAGAAAACTAAAAATAGATGACCATGTGTCTTCCCCCTTTCCAAACCTCCTCCTAGCATCTCACTCTTTCTTCCCTCCCTCTGCAGGTTATAGCCATCAGTACTGGGCTTCAACCAAGAGCAGTGAGTATGAATGGCCCTAAAGTCCCCATGCCCCAGTACCCTTCCTCCCCAAGCCTGAGGCAGTGTGCCCCATCCCCTGGGTTCTCAGCTCCAGAGAGGCCCCAGGCCAGTCAAAGGTCTCAGGCTGGACCAAGTAGAGCCTCAGGTTCCCATTAACAGCCGGTTCTCTTATGGCTTCCCAATGAAGCTCAGTAATCTTTATTTGTGTGTATTTTCTTTCAGATCTAGTGACCTCCACATACCCTCTAGGATCCCCAACATCTCTGACCCCTATTTCCAGCTCTACAGGTAGGAGTCTGGTCTCTGGGTCCCCCGAAACTTCATCTCCCATTCAGCAGCTGATGGATACTTGCATAGTCTGGAACCAGTGTCCCCTGCCTCAGCCTGCCTCACTCTGCCCCTTGCTGCCTCACCTCTGCCATAGCAGCCTCATTTCTATTCCTCCAGGGTCCACGCATCCCTCTCTCTTTAGGGTTATTGCACTTCCTGTCCTTGGAATTCATCTGCTGGTTCCTTCTTGTCCTGCAGGTCTCAGCCCAGCATGTACCTGTCAGGGTATACTGCACATCCCATACACACCTCTGTGCTCTTTTCCTTCATGGACATGATTACTATTTGGATTTTTTTTACTGCTCACATATTTGTGGCCCAAGACCTAAGAACAAAAGGTCTCGGCTCCTCCTCTTATCAACGAGAAGTCCCTGACTTGTCAACTTTTGTCCTTCTGGGCTGAGAGGACTGGGGTTCTCTTCTGAGCTGAAGTCACACATCCACCCTGGAGGTCCTTCACCTCGATCTCTGGTTGGCTGCAGGCTAGCCCAAATGGGCTATCCCAGGCCTCACCTGGGGGACACCGTGGCTCTAGAGACAGTTAAGCTCTTCAGCCCACACCCAGCTCGGCACTAACCTGACGGGCTCTCTTTCCCCTGTCCTCCGGCTGCAGGTCTACAACCAGTCATGGTGACATTCACCCTGAACCTGACAATCACCAACCTATATTACACCCCAGACATGGGGCGCCCAGGCTCCTTGAACTTTAACTCCACAGAGAAGGCCCTGACTCGCCTGGTAAGAGCCAGCCAATGCCTGCAGGGGCCTGCTGTGTCTTATCCCCCACCATGCCCCTCAGCCCACCCCACTCATCTCCCTGTCCCTCCTCCCAGCTCGAGTCTGTGTTCAGGAACACCAGCATCGGCGCCAGCTACTCTGGCTGCAGACTGTCTTTGCTCAGGTGAGTCTTCCCTCCATCACATCACGAGGGACTGTGCTGTCACAGGCAAACCTACCTGGAGGTGAGGGCCTGTGCCTGGTCCCTAGACAGCAAGGGTCATAAATGGCTGTGGCCGTCCAGGAACTCAGACATGGAAGACACTCTCTTTGGCTAAGAGCATTAAAGAGAGGGATTGCCAAAAGAGCTGGCCTTCAGCTATTTGGACAAGCAGAGAACGGAGCAAGCAGGTTCCTGGATCAGCAAGGGCAGCGCCAACTCATTAGCAAACAGGAATGACAGCTTAGGCCATTCTTGCAATGGTACCGGGGACACTGAGGTGGACCGTAAGTCCTTCCCTCTAGGTGCCCCAACTCGAGAGAGGCAAGCAGCCACATGAACTGAAACCATGTGAGCCGGGTTCATGCGACCACTGAACTCCACACGGGGGCCACAGGAGCCCAGAGCGTGGACTTTGAGTTCATCACAGGGGTGCTGGGTAGAGGCTGCCCGGAGAGGGTGATGCCCGAGGCCGGTTTTGACAGCTGAGTGAGTGTACATTAGCCAGAGGAAGCACTGGCCCAGGTGGGGTTTCAAGGGTGGGCCATCGTGAGTAATGGCACATGTGAGAAAGAGCATGACGTGTGGCAAAGTTCAGTGAAATAGGAGGAGAGAGAGGGACAAACAGCGGACGGATCAAGGAATGGGTGAAGGAATGGAAAAGAAAGGAAGGGAGGGAGGGAAGGGAAGAGGGAGGGGGAGATCACAGCTGCTGGGGTAGAGGAGACCCAGGGTGGAGATCCCAGGCCATACCAAGGAGTTGTCACCGTGTTTTGTATAGCAATGAGGTGACACACAAATAGTCTCTGGTGTCCAAATGTGTTACATCCCACTCTGTTTCTGACCCTAGCTATCTAATATTTGGGAAATTCTTTACTATGTGTGTGACTTTGTTTCCTCAGTGATAAAATGAGCATGGATAGAGTTAATGACGCTGCATCGTAGACTTGAAATTTGCTAAGTAGATCTTGAGTATTCTCAACACAGAGACACACAGAGGAGAAAAGCGCTATGTAAAGCGATGGAAATGTTAATGAGCTTGACTGCAAGTAGTGCATATGGGTGTCAAAACGTCGAATCGTATTTGAATAAAGCTGTAATTTAAAATGTTTAAGAAACAGGAAGAGCATCCATATCTATTTCGTAGAGTTGTTGACAAGATAAAGTGGGACAGCCATGGCAAAAAGTCGAGTACCCAGTAAAAGTTGTCCCATAAATATTATCACCCAGTAGTTGTCTTGTAACTATTAGTCATAATTTTATTCAGAGCCAGGGGGTCTCTGGAGTTGTCAGTGCAGCTCTGGTTGGCATGATGTGGCTTGTTTTAAGTAAGGCATTAGCAAATGTGGTCAGGGATCATTTAAAATGATGCTGGGCCAGGAAAGTCGAGCGAGCCATTGAGAAGATAGAAAGGACCTGGGTGCACCATGGCCGTGGGGAGAGATGCTACGAGGAGGTCCGGGAGGCCTCCAGACCTCTGGCACTGACACGGACAGAGAAGCATGGGGAAGGAGCAGGCTTTGTATTTCAGGGGGACAAGATGATAAGCTGAACTTGGGAAATACAGGATCAAAGGGGTCTGAGGGCATCTTTGAGGCTGTTGGTCACATGAAGTGATGCTCAGGAGAGAAGTCTCTTTAAAGTGCCATTGTGTCTTATGATCATGAGCTGGTACCTGACACAGCGGGTGTTAGCCAAGAAGAATGGGGATCCAAAAAGGAGAAGCTGGTTGAGGATGAGGCTCTGGAGATCAACCAGTTTACAGACAGGCAGGGAGCCTGCAGAAAGGACCAGACGGGATTGTGTCTCAGAAACCAGACACAACCCATAGAGAGGGGTCACGAAATCAGGAGGGGCTCGGTCTGAAGGAGAGACCTGGCTCTCACCCTCTCTCTGGGTGTCCCCACCCCAACGTCCCTGTCATGGCAGGTCCAAGAGTGAGGCGGTGACCACCGTGAATGCCATCTGCACCTACTTTCCTGACCCCACGAGTCCTAGTCTGGACCGAAAGCAGCTGTACCAGGAAGTGAGCCAGCTGACCCACGGAATCACCCGGCTGGGCCCCTACACCCTGGACAGAGACAGCCTCTATATCAATGGTGAGTGCCCACCACAACAGGGGTCTCCGCAGTCCCAGATCTCTCTCTACTAGTAGTTCCTGACTGGGGGTGATTTGGCATCCCAGGGGACATTAGGCAATGCCTGGATACATTTGCATGTGACATCTGTAGGGATGCTCATAGCATCTATTAGGTAGAGGACAGGGTGCCCCTAACCTAGAAAGCACAAGAGTCTATGAGGAATTAACTAGATCAAAACAGCGCTGACACAAACCCAGGCCCCCCTGAGAGCTCGTTTTCCACGGTCAGCGCACTAACAGAGGCTGATTTCTCTACCCTTCCCACCTTCGGAGATGAAATGTCTCTTATTCCCATCTGCTTCCATAAAGCCCAGCGGGAGCACCCAGATGCTACAGGGGACATGGGGCGCTGCAGAGTCCTCTGGTTAAGTCTCCCCCAAGAGTCTTCAGGCGCCCAGTTCTAGTTCAGCCCTCACTCCACTTTTCTCTGTTCATCGTGACAACGTAAGGCACATTCTCAGGCCCCAAGAGCCAGCTGGACTCACACTGCCCTCCTGAAACATCACCACTCTCAGTCAATACATCAGGAATGGTAGCTGTTGACACATGGTTGCCAAAAAATAGAAAGAAAAAAAACCCACACTACAGCACTACTGCCAAGAGTAAGGACCACAACTGCGGCTCCCATTTATTCAAAGTTTCCTGTGCACCAGGAACGGCGATGAGGACTTGGCTTGTGTTGTTTCATGTTAATCTCACRCAAGACTCTCGGAGTAGTGATACTCGTTTTGACCTAGAGCCACTGTGCATTCAGGGAGGAAGTCATTTGCCCAGGGATCACCCAATTATAACGCATGGCAAGATGAAGATGCCACCCAAGGGCTGGAGACAGCTAAACCAGGAAACTCAGCAGACCATCCAAATAGAGCAAGCCCCAAACGGAAGGACAGGCAGGGGCATCTGGTGACCTCTAGCTTAACAGACTAACCAAATGCGTAGTTTTCTCCCATCTCTATCCACTTTATCCACTTTCCTTTATGCCTGCTTTGCAATACCTATACTTCTTTGTATGATCTGTAGCACACGTTGTTCTTGGCCCTTAGAAATTTTGCTCCAAAATTGCAACTAACTTGCAGCAGTGGTGAACAGTGTGGACGCTGTTGAGTGACGGTTCTGTTTCGTGTGATGCAGGACCAGTCCTGTTACCGTCTCAGTGTTAGGGCTTAGTGTTTTACGCCTGCAGAATGGGGTAAAAATACCACATGGGATTGTTCTGGGTAATCACATGAGATCATCCAGGAATAACCCTAGAAAATCTCAGGCCTCCTCTGGAGCCAATCTTTCATCTCCCATTGAGGATCAGAAGAAATGCCAACCATGACCCAGGCCAAACGCTCAGGAAAAATCCAACCTTCTCCCCAGTTGCTTTTAGGCTCCAACCGCGATAACATCCATCTGACCCTCAAGTCTCTCCCCCTTTACACTATCCCATGCCATTATCCAAATTGTTCTTAATATTCCAAACCATGCATGCCGCTCTCTTCCTCCATCTCTTCCTCCATATTTTCACCTCCCTGTGCCCCTTCTCAATTCGCCACAACTTTGTCAATTCCATATCCCAGAAACCCAGACACTGAACTAGAAAAAGACCCTACCATCACTGAATTTTGTGAAGGAGACGAAGCTGAGAGAGCAAAGATAGAATTAAATTATCCTTTCGGAGGGAGAAAATGTCCCTGAGTGTGTTTTGACCTCGAGTGAAGCACCATCGCCAGGTCGCGGCAGGTCCCTCTTGGTTACCACAGGCACCTCTTGTTAGCAACTCTCAGTAAAAACGATGGTGATGGTGGGCATCCCACCATCAAAGAACAAGGCACAGAACAGGGACCCAGGAAAACGTTGCTCGTCTTCCTGTCTCACAAGCGTCTTCAGGACTCGGGTCTCTGGGGCTGCCACCTTCTCCTGCCTTTGCTGTGGCCGTCCTAACAGCCTTTCTTGCTGTCTCCTCCTCTGCAGGTTACAACCAACGGTCCTTGGCCCTTACCACCAGCAGTGAGTATTCAAAGCTGTGACAGACCCCCCAATGTCCCCAGGAGCTTTCCTCCTTAGAGCTCATGGCAGAGAACCTGACGGTGCCTCCCCCTGAGCCCTGCAGATTCCCGACAGAGCCCAGGATCCAATTAACAGCTTCCTCCCCACCTGCTTTGAGGATGGAGCCCAATTTCCACACACTCCCTCCTGCCCTTGTTCCTCCAGGGAATTCCACCTTCTCTCCAGGACTTCCTACCTCCTGACGCCCAGCTCTAGGCAGGAACCTCTCTCTGGGGTCTCTGGCACGTGGTCTGGCCCCTGCTGACCAGCAGCCCCGGGCTCTCTAGCCACCCTGTCCCTCACTCCCCCACTTTGGCCGCCCCACAGATGTGCTTGCTTGCCTGGCACCGTAGCTCTGTCCCACCTGAGGACCTCCACTCCTCGCTGTTTCTGCAGACTGGCCACCCCCTTCCCTGGTACCTCCTTATTTTCCAAACGCTCCCAAGCCCCCTGCTGTGAAATGGCACCTTCCCTGTATTCCCACCTTGCTCCCAAGGGTTTGCACCACCCCACCACCCTTTGTGTTTGTCCCCGGGAACTCAGCACCCAGTCAACACCCACTTCCTATTAATTGTTTGAATGAGTCCATGAATGAAAGAAGCCACCTCTGTATGTTATTTGTGGATTCAATTCAGACATCAGCAAATCATTAAAAATCTAAATCAGGAGTTTGATTCTTGCCCTGTCCCCTCGTCTTTTCCCAGATGTGGGTCTGAGGGCTCCTGAAGCTTTAGAAACCTTTAGAAACTTGTGGGGCTTTCTTTATGCCATGAAAACTGTCCCATCCAAACTCTTAAGCCTGAGCCAGACTCTAGGGCCCAACCGTTAACCTTCTGTCATCGAGGAGACAAAGATTTGGCATAGAGAAAATGTCTCTTTAGTTCAGAAATAAACATCTTTCTATTGGCACATCCATGTTCACAGCAGCATTAGCCATAATAGCCAAAAGATACGAACAACCCAAGTGTCCACTGACAGACAAATGGATAAACAAAAATGGAACTACCTGTGCAATGGAATACTATTTAGTCCTAAAAAGGAAAAAAATTCTGATCCATGTTAAAACATGGATGAATCTTGAAGATAGGTTGCTAAAGAAATTAATTAATATAGAGTTTCAGTTTTGCAAGATAAAAAAATCTCTAGAGATTGTGGCACAACCAACACAAGTGGCCTTTCACCCCACCACCCCAGACCGAGGTCAGAATGAGCCACTGCCCCCTCTCTCTCCAGCTGCAGGTACAAGCTCGTACCTGGTATCCTTCACCCTCAACTTCACCATCACCAGCCTGAACTACACAAAGGACATGGAGCCCCCAGGATCTGAGATATTCAAGACCATAGAGAGGATCTTGAAACGCCTGGTGAGAGCGCGCCCATGCTCACCATCCCACCTCAGTCTTGTCCCCAGCCCTTTGTCCCACCAGCTCACCTCCCTCCCTCCCTCCCTCTCATCCCCAGCTCAAGCCCGTGTTCCAGAATAGCAGTATTGGGCACCTGTATTCTGACTGCAAACTGACCTTACTCAGGTGAGTGCTCCAGAGAGATAAGCAGGCCACGTGGGAGATGACCACAAGTTGGGCCCCAGCACCCTGCACCCCCTGTCCTGAGGGCAGCTGACTCCCAGTCCCATTCAAGTCCTTTCCTTCCAGAAGCGAAATAAAAAATGTGGGCTCCCTGGATTCTTTCCTTCCTGAGAGACAAGGAGGAATGCTTGTACTGAGCACTTACACAAATGTTAAGTGCCTTTGGGTCTACACTGTGGCCTCATTTCACAGAGGAAGAAAATGAGGCACAGAGAGGTTGGGACATTTACCCAGAGTCACCCAGTGAGTGAGTGGCAGAACTGAGATTTAAACAAGTTGACACTGCCTTCTTTCACCTTGCCGAATTCCCAGATTCCTTTCTTCTACCCCTTTCATCCTGTTTCTGTCTTCAGGGTATGTGAGGTCTTGTTGCAGAGGTCATGTTAAAGTTTAGTACACACACATCGAATTTTTTTTTTTTTTTTGGTACCAGGAATTGAACCAAGGGGTGCTTAACCATTGAGCCACATCCCCAGCCCTTTTTTATTTTTATTTTTTATGTTGAGACAGGGTCTTGCTAAGTTGCTGAGGCTGGCTTTGAACTTGTGATCCTCCTTCCTCACTCTCCTGAGATGCTAGGGTGTGCACCACCGTGCCTAACAAATATCAACATCTATAGATGCCACATCCTCTTTGTAGGGGACCATGGCTGTCCTATTCATTTCCAGCCCAAGGCCACTTGATTGCCCAGCATTCCCCCCACCTTCTTGATCCCCTCCTTCAATGGAGTCTCCACCACCCCATCCCTATGTGCCTCTCTGCCCAGGCCTGAGAAAAACAGAACAGCTACTGGAGTGGACGCAGTCTGCACCTACCGTCCTGACCCCATGGGCCTCGAGCTGGACAGAAAGAAGCTGTACTGGGAGCTGCGCCACGAGACCCACGATGTCACCCAGCTGGGCTTCTTCACCCTAGACAGGGACAGTCTCTATGTCAATGGTGAGCAGCCTTTAGTAACCACAAGCCAAAGCTGAGAATCCGCACCTAAGAAGAGGTGCGGACTTTCCAGTTTGCCACAGACCTGTCCTGTGAATTGTCCTCACCTAAACAGCCCCCCGTGAGTAACCGGAAGGCACCCATGAGCCCTCAGGTTTGCAAGTCCTTCTCTTTCCCTCATAACTCCACATTCCAGGGCTGTGACCTGCACCTGTCTGAGCCACAAAAGCCTTTATTCAAATGCATGAAAGAGAATATCCCTCTTGCTGAAGCCAATGGGGATTCCAGAGTCTGACCATTCACCTTTCTCCCCATCGGTGTCTCAAAATCCCCTCTAGATCTTGAAAAACACAGATTACAAATATACACCATAAGAATTGGGGGGTATTTATCTCCCCAAATAATTGCAAGCCCATGAAGACAGAGAGTGGGTCTCCAGCTTTTCTCTTTTAGGCCACTCCCAGATCCTAAGTATTCCACTGAGTCCGTCTGAAGCCTCTGCTGCAGATGGGGACGGACGGGCACCTTCTCCTGCCTGCACTCCAACCCTGTCTCCTTTTCTCGTTGCAGGTTATAACCATCAGGCCTCGGGTCCCTCTCTCAGCAGTGAGTACTTATCCTTGATGACCATGTGCACAAACCTCTTGTGAACAGCTGAGTTCTCCCACCCTGGGTCCAGGGACGTGGGGAGAAAAGACACCAGTGGACTGTATTGTCTCACCCACCCCCACACACTTGGTGGCCCTGGGGTTGTCAGGGAGACTCATGGTGGCACCCGTGCCCAGCCTGGATCCCCCTCCTCACTCCGCTCTGTTTCTCCTCAGCCGCTGTGAGCTCTACTATGTTCCCAACGACTTCCACGGCGCACGCCCACCTCTCCAGCTCCACAGGTGGGTGATTTCTCTTTCCAACCTCCTCCGGGAAGTCAGCGTGCACAGCCTCAAATCGAGGACCTGGGAGATGCGGGGAAAGGGCAGTGTGGGGGGTGGCCGGGAGCTGCCACAGCACCTCCTGCTCCTCTGTGAACGCAAGAGCCAGGGGACCTGTGCTCCTCATTTCCCTAGCCACGTTGACCTTGGGCACTTGACTTACCTTCTTCACCTGCCAAGTGGAGCTATTAACATTTCCTGAGTTTGTTATGAATGTTCAATGAAAAAACAGTTATGTGCCCGGTGACAGCATTCAGTCAAGGATGGATCACACATGGACAGTGGTCCCATGAGATTATATCACCCAATGACACTGTAGCCATCTTACTTGTGTAGGTACACTCTATATGTAAGACCCTAGCACAGGGGCTGGCAGGAAATTGAGTTTGACAAGTATTTATGGGACGCCTGCTCTCTACTGGGCATGGGGATAAGACACTGAGGAAATCAGATGTGGTCCTTCCCTGGGGTTAGTGCCCTGGGTCACCTGGAAGGTCCATCCAGGTAGAATTCATACTAAGAGAGAGCCATAGTATTCAGCACTTCCTGTGTGTCCTCACACATGCTGTATTCTTTCAATTCTCAGCTTTTCACTTTGAATAAATAATTATAGATTCAGGGAATGTTGTAAAAATAGTAGGCAGTTCCCCTAACCTCTTCATCCAATTTCCCCAATGGCTACACCTTGCATAACTCTAATACAGTATCGAAATCAGGAAATCAACATTGTTAAAATCAAGACCTCAGTCAAATTTCACTAGTTTCTTACATGCACTCCTGAGTGTGTGGGCGTGTGTGTGTGTGTGTGTGTGTGTGACCATTTTATCATATGGGCAGATTCCTGTAACCACCCCCACAACCAAGAGACAGAACTGTTCCAGCCCCACGAGGATCTCCCTGCAGTTACTCCTGTACAGTCATGCTCACGTAGCCCACACCCTGCACTCACGGATCTGTGCTCTCTCTCTCTGATTTTATTTTGAGAAAAAATAAATACAAAGGGCTGGGGTTGTCGCTCAGTGGTAGAGCGCTTGCCCAGCATGCATGAGGCATGGGGTTCGATTCTCAGGACCACATAAAAATAAATAAATAAAATAAAAAAATGTTTTCTTTTAAAAAAATAATTAAATACAAATATAAAATAAATGGAAATGGAAATATGCCAGTTGGGCCTTTGGGGACCAGCTTTATTTTGTTCTTGTGCGATGCCCTTGAGATGTGCTGACTCTTTTAACAAACAGCCATCTCACTTTCATCATGTCCCTACAAAGTGTAGGATTCCCCCGTTTATAGTGGAAGCAACTGAGGTTCAGGCAGGTAAACTGCCCACAGTCACAGGGGCAGAGAGGGAATTTGAAACCAGACCCCACTCAGCCGTGTGGCCGTAACCACAGTAACAAAGCTCTACAGGATGGACTCTCTGTTAATGGACAAGTTCTGGGAGCCATGGGAGGGGGTGCGCAGGGGTAAGCCAGCTCAGTAGGTGGGAGAGGACCTCCTTTTAAGGACTGCTGTTGGGAGGTTGTTTAAAAAAAAATAGTTTGTTAAATGTTAAGTGGGACTGAATTGAATTTTTCCCTTATACTCCCAACCATGACATTTCCCCAATCCTGTTCCTTTTAACTCTTTCTCCAGAACCTGTTAGGGCCAGAACTCAATTCCTGGCCACCCTGTCAGGTCCCTTAATCTGCATCTGGGCTTCTAACCTACTCTGGGGCAGTTTCCAACACCAGGCTTTCCTCCCTACCTGGCTGTCCCTCTTCCTGTCCTGCCTGCTGCAAACCCTCCAGCTGGGTCCTCTGAAGTTGGGGCCCAGGCTAGGTCTGCCATACATGAGGTCTCTGTTTCTGCTCCCCAGCTGCAGTGGCGGTCCCTTTCCAGCTGCCATTCACCCTCAACTTCACCATCACCAACCTGGAGTACGAGGAGGACATGCAGAACACGGGCTCCAGAAAGTTCAGCTCCACCGAAAGAATCCTGCAGTATCTGGTGAGAGCCCCGCCCACCTCGCTTGGCCCCGCCCACAACCCCCAGACAGGTTCCAGCCCCACCCACCTCACCCGGCCCAGCCCCTCCCACCGATGCTGCAGCTCCTGCAGGTTTGTCTGGTGGTTCCTTCTCACTTCCCCTTTCCCTCCTCGCAGCTCAAAACCATATTCAAGAACAGCAGTCTGGGATACCTCTATTCGGGCTGCCGATTATCCACGCTCAGGTGAGATCCTCCCCAGGAAAAACCTAGCTGCACAGGTGGATGAGACCCTAAGCTCTGGGCTCCCTGACTGTCCACACTTGGAACCACTACTGACCATGGACACTAAGCATCAACAGCACCACCAGCGGCTGTTACTATGACCCAAAGCGCTGTGCTGTGTATTTCCAGTTTAACATTTTGTCTATCCAATCAAGAGCCTCATGAAGCTGTTAGGGGAAGAGAACTGAGGCTCGGAGGGAACAAGTGGCTTGTGGAAGGTCACACAGAGCAACCCCAGCGCTTCAGGTTCTAGATCCAGACTCCCAGCCCTGGGGTTGTGCTGCCCCCTCTGCCCAAGCTCTGGCCTTGCAGATGTGGAAAGTCGCGAGAATGGGGGAGGAAAGGCGAGCAGAGTGTCACAGGGAGACTCCCAAGTGGGCGGGACTCAGCCCTCAGGACCTGCCCTGCCCTGGGGTGGGTGGGAGGTGGGATGGACACTGTCCCTGGAGGGCTAGGAAGAGCAGGCAGCCTGGGTTAGAGACTACTGGACCTTTCTCGCCAACATCCCACATGTCTCAAAGAATCTCTAGGTCGGGCTCTGGAGAGATTCCTATTTTCTCATAGTCATCTACCCCCAGCTGTCCTCTCTTCCCAGGAAAAAAGGGGGAAGGGGGTCTAGTGGCCAAGGGCCTCAAAGTCACAGAGACCTGAGCTCCAGTCCCAACTCTGCTATTTACTACAGTCTATGACTGTGACTCAGGCGAAATGCCCAAATCTTTCTGCTCCGTTTCCCCATGATACATGCTTCAGATCTGTAGATTCAACCAACCATGGATTGACAAGTCAGAAAAAATAACTGCACCCATTCTGGACATGTACAGACTTATTCATGATTTCCTAAATAACAAAATATAACACCTAAATACAAGGACAGTCTCTCTGTCACTAGGTATTAGAAGTGTTCTAGAGAGGGCTTAAAGTCTGTAGGAGGATATGTTGCATGCAAATACTCCATTTTATTCAAGGAACCTGAGCATTTAAGGATTTTGGTATCCCTGGGGGCCCTAGACTCAATCCCTGACAGATATTGCAGGACAACCACGTGGGAGGGGATAGACCTATGTGTGTGTATATCATATATATATATATATATATATATATATATATACATAGATGTAACTAGTTTAATATAAATATTTAGGCACAAATATAATGTTTAACATCCTAATCTATAATTATACATAATATAATCATATATAAAATACATAGACCACATATATTTACGTATTAAGTTCATATTTACCTATCCCTAGACTATATTTTAAATCACATGTACTTGGTTGCATGTAATATAGAGGTTTAATCATCATTGTGGGAATGGAGCAACAGCAGCCCATAGGAAGGCTTTAAGAATGCAGTGAAGCGACTGTGCACAGAGCACTGGGTCTGTGCATTGATTATTTAATACACGGTAGTTGTGCCCTGGGAGGCAACCTCCCAAGCTCTGGAGCCCCTTTCCCTCTGAGTTGCTTTCTATATACAAGGGGGTGGCTGGCCAGATGGGTCTGCATCCTGTAGCTAAAGATGCATGTGGGGTCATCAAACCTTGTGACCTCAGGTTGGACCAGCCATGGTTTCAGACAGATCCACCAAACAGCCATCTCTCCCATGTCCTTTACCAACCCTTAGGAGTGTCCCAACCCTGCTATTCCACAGGATCCAGAGAGGGTAGCTTTAGCCTCTGATGCCAGCTCTCTGAGGGACAATGTCACTCACTGTGCTATGGTCACCTTCCTGGGGGCCCTGCTGCCCATTACACCCTGACCCTCAGCACCTTGTTGTGTCCATCAGAACCTGTGTTAGGACTCGGCTGTCCTGACGTCCCTGGGATGGCTCATCCCCGTGGACAGCCCCCCTCTGCGTCTGTTGTGTGTCCGCTGCTCCTGGCATTTTGATCCTAATAATCGTTCACGGTGGGCGTCTCCGTGCGGACAGCAGCTTCCTTGTTAACTAGGGTTTCCCCAGTTTCTGTATCGGGAACTGGCAAAGAGAAAGAGGGTAGAACAGAGAGGTAGCTGGACCATGTACGTATTTATCCAGACCTGAGAAGGACGGGGCAGCCACCAGAGTGGACCTGATCTGCACACACCGCCCCGACCCTAAAGGCCACATATTGGACCGAGAAAGACTGTACTGGGAGCTGAGCCAGCTGACCTATAACATCACCCGGCTGGGACCTTACACCCTGGACAAGGACAGCCTCTATGTCAATGGTGAGCAGCTGCAGGGGGGTGGAGTCCTCCTTGTTGACCACACTCCTTTCCTGGCCCCGTGGACTTGGCCCTGGGCTCAGTCTGGATCTCCTGGTCTTTTCTCATCTTGAACTGATTCACCCTCAGGACCTTCTTCCCTGACATGAGGGTCCTGATGAAGAATCCTCTGCAGCCCTTGCTTCATGAACCCCCTGAAGTCCCAGAGTCCCTGCCCCAGAGTCCCTGACCCCTTCTTAGAACGCTACCTCTGCCCTAACCCTGTCCACCTCCCCACTTTTCCCTGCAGGTTTCACCCATTGGAGCCCTTCCCTCGTCACCAGCAGTGAGTACCCGCTGATGTTCCAGTGACCCATCCCCCACCAAGCAGAGCAGGGTCTGACCCGTCCTCATGCCCTCCTTGTCCTATCCAGAAGCAAAAAGATCTGAGAGAGAAAAGTTAATTTATTATCATTATCATTTATTTTGAGACAGGGTCTTGCTAAGTTTCCCAGGCAGACCTCAAGTTTTTGATCCTCCTGCCTGGGCCTCCCAAGTCACTGAGATTCCAGGCATGCCCCACCAATGCCTGGCTAGAGAGAGCAGAATGTTTTTACCCTCTGCTCTGCTCAGCTTCAGAGAAGTCCAAGTTCAAGCCTCCATGTCACAAACCCTGTAAATAGTCCCTCCTTCTGGCATTTCTGCCCCAAGGGGACCTTGCTGATTTCACTAATGAGGGCTTCTCCTCAGCTCCTAGGATCTCCACGGTGGACCTGAGAACTTCTGAGTCTCCATTCTCCTTCCCCAGCCACACAGGTAAACACCAGTTCATGGCATCTCTGTTGGAGAGGTCCTGATGAGTGTGAACATCTCTGACATTATTCCATCAATTAAAGATGGAAAATCATAGTAAACCTAGTGACGATGAATCAACCAACCATCTAATGGAGCACCTGTGTTGTGCCAGGCCCTGGAGATACACTGGGGAACATAAAGCAGACTGTCAATGCTCTCTGAGAATTTATATTCTTGTGATGATAAGGATGGTGTTGAACTTGGTGTTGATGGTGATGATGTCAGTACTGATGATGATGGTTATAGGGATAATGGTGGGGGTGATGGTGGTGGTGGTGATCATGGTGGTGAAGCTAATGATGGTGGTGTCAACGATGGTGATGGTGGTGGTCATGATGGTGACAGTGGTGGTGATGATGACAATAATGGTGGTGATGGTGACAGAGATGGCATCCATGACCATGATGATTTAACAAAAGTAACAGGAAATACCTGAAATTTTTGAATGTTGAACATTCACTGAGAGCCGTACTCTGCATCTAAGTGGCATCATCTAATATGCTCTCTTTTAAAACTTTCTGTCATGAGAGATGAGAGGCATGGAAAGCTTTATCACTTTTAATTTAATATTAAGTGGACTGGTTTTTTAGAAAGAAGCCTACTGCAAAACTCATGAGCATCGAGACTTTGAACACTAGGTTTCCTTGCATTGACACCAACATCAAGTACACCCTCTGGATAGAGCAAGGCTGTCTTGCTCCTTTGTGCTTAGCCAGTTTCAACCCAGGGCCTCGTGCATGGTAGGGCTATAGGAAAAGATGCATTCTTCTTTGAAAAGAAGGGAAGCGTATGCTTTCTGGTCGTGTACGGGAACGTTCCTATTCCTCCCTGGTTCAAATGTATCACCATTCTGTCAGATTCTACCCAGGACAACTATGTGGCACCTGTGCCGCTCCCCCTTCCGTGGCAGACATCACTAGTTGATAAAAGCATCCACCAAACACCCTAGGCAATGGCTGCCAGGTCAGTTGGAGTTGTCACAAGAGTCTAAGACCCTGAGGGTGTCGGGGAGCCTCTTTGGTTTTCCTAGAAAGTGTCTGCAGGTTGAGAGGTTCCGCTCGGCCTCGCCCAGGTGTGACTGGATCCCAGCTGCTCCCCCACCCAGCCACCAGCCAGAAAGGGGCCTCAGCAAGCCTGGGCTGTGGCAGTCTAGATTGATCTCTACTCGTGGACTTTGTTTTCATTTTCCCCGAGCCACAGTTACTCCCTGGTCAAAATATCACCATGGGTGCCTCAGGGTCTAGGGAGAGGTTGAATGAGGTTGGAATTCATAGTACAAGCTCTGGATGTAAGTGATGGGAGACACCCTCAGCCTGGGCCTGGTACATGGTCAGCTCTCAAGTAGTGAAACTGTCAGCCCTGTTGACCCTCAATTTCTGAAGGGTATTGGTTTCAGTACCAAAATCCAAGAGTGCTCAAGTCCCTTATATAAATGGCAAGTCCCTCATAGCATCTACACACATCCTTCATAGACTTTAAATATCATCTCTAGATGATTGATGGTACCTAATACAATATAAGTGCTATGTGCCTCATTGCCATATTGGAGGACGGGGTGGACAGTGAGGGCCCCTGGTACAGAGAAATAGGGTGGCATTTCAAGAGAAGGAATTCATTTCTAAAGAAACTGAAGCATGTCCAGGCCCCTTCCTTTCCCTTAACTCCACTTTTTAACCACCACCATCCAGGGTCCAGGGCATAGCCCGGTCCTTCATTCTCTTTGCCACTCCAGCAGTCCTCCCAGCCACCTTGCCTGTCCCAGACACCAGTGGTGGTGTCCAGGGGGGCCTCCCTGCTTGCATTCTTGCCCCTGTTCTCCACCTAGTGGCCAGAGGCAGCTTGTTAAACTCTACGTCGGAGCGTGGCACTTTCCAAGGCAAAACCTTCCTCCCACCTCACGTTGTTATTATGATGAAATAGCTCCTTCGCCGTGATGCACAGGCCCCTGAAGGACTTCATCGTTGATGCCCTTTTGACTTCTCCTCTTCCTGTACCCTTCTGCTGCCATGTGGATATTGCTCCAACACAGCAAGCTCTTTCCAAGTTCCTGGGCTTTGCACTTGCTCTGCCTTTGCATGAAGCACTTCCCTCCGTCGGCTTGTACAGCTGACTCCTCTTCTTCCTTCAGGTTTCACACAAATGCAAAGTTTTCATAGGAACCTTGTCTGCTTGTCCGACTCTTTGAACTAAATCGTACACTGTTGAGGTTTTTAAGTCCTTCTCGGTACTACCGCTTTTTGACTTAGGATGGATGGGTTTACATCCCCAAAAATCCATCATAAGATGAAAATATCACAAGTTGAATGCATTTAATATATCTAGCCTACGAGCATTCTGGCTGAGCTCAGACCACCTTAAATGTGTTCAGAGCACATAACACTAACCTACAGTTGGACAAAGTCATCTATGGCAAATCCTATTTTATAATGAAATTTTGAGTGTATCGAGAAAGTATCATACCTCACACCACTAGCCCAGGAAAAAAGAACTCAAAGTGCATTTTCTACTGAATGCATATGGCTTTTGCACCATTATAAAGTCAAAACCCATCATAAGTCAGGGGCCATCTGTACTTATAACACTTTTGTTGTATTTATTTGTTCACAGGTCCATTTCCCCCTTCTAGGAATGTATTCATTCCCCACCCTTCCCATCCTCTGCTCCCGGGACTCTGATCCTTGAAAACTACCTTTCCCAGGTTCCTTGCTGAGTCCCTGCTAGTTTCAGCCAGTAGGAGGCGCTGGTGGGACCGCGGTGGGCAGGGCTGCAGATGAGCCAGGGCATTTCTTCCCCCACCCCCTCTGTTTCCTGTAGCATCTCCAGCAAGGCCTGTGTCTCCTCCATGCTCTCAGCAACATCTGGTGTGCCACCCTCCTGTGCTTTTGTCCCTTCAGTCCCATGGGATGAGAGGCTTCCTGGCTCTGCAAATCTCTTTGTGACCCTTTCCGTGTTTTATTGTTGTTGTTTTTTCTATTAAGCTCCCTCTTTTGAAATAGTGGACACGGATTCTATTTTCCTGGCCAGGACTCTATGTTCCAATGCCATGACCATGCCTCCTGGTGTAGAGTAGGTGTTCAATAAATATTCATGGAGAGAAGGAAGGGAGGGGAGGGAAAGGAAATTGCTGGACATGAGCCCGGTCACATAATTGGGTCAACATGGGGTAAGTCTTAGGGTGACTTTGGGTACCTCCAAATCAGAGCTCCTGAGAGAAGAACCAATTCCCAATGGAAAGAGTGATTGGATGTGATGTAGGTGGTGGTCCCTGCATGCACCAGAACCAAGCTGTGTGGAGCTCTGGTGGCGAGGGTCAGAGCCCTGTGTGCAGGCCGGGGCAGGCTGGAGGGGAGCCGACAGGGCGCTCATGCCAGCTCAAGACAGACTCTCTCGTTGCAGCCGTGAGCCCTGCCCTGATGCCCTTCACCCTCAACTTCATCATCACCAACCTGCAGTACGTGTCCGACATGAGGCATCCAGGATCTGACAAGTTCAACACCACCGAGGCCATCCTGCAGCGCATAGTAAGAGCCGAGGGCCAGCCGCCTGCCCCCACCTTGCAGGGCCCTTGCCCTCTGACTCACCTCCCTCTTCTTCCCCCGCAGCTTGGCCCTGTGTTCAAGAACACCAGTATTGGCCCCCTCTACACTGGCTGCAGGCTGACTTCACTCAGGTGAGATGCCCAGCGGTGGCCGCTCACACCCCCTGGCCTCCCGGATTCAGTCCCTGACTGCACCTTGTTCCCCACCTGCCCAGGGTAGCAACTCTCGGCTGAGCCCTCTCCCCAGTCTTTGTTCATCAGTTTTCTATTCTGGCTTTTTTTTTTTCCTGGTTTTAACCAACATGTAGAACATCCCCCAGGAGTGAATGCCCAGCAACTTCCAAAATTATTCTATACTCAGAAAAAAAATTTAAATGCAAAAATGAACAATCTTTGTGGCATGAACATTTCTTAACCTGTATTGAAAGGGCTCCAAAGTAATGTGCTTGAGGGATTTGCCAGGCCTCGGGCTGCCGGCCTGTTGGTCCATTTTTTTCCTCCCTTGGCTTAATTTTGGGAGTGGGGTGATGGGAAACCAGGTCTGATAGTGCATCCCTAAAAATGAAAATCCCAAATGCTCAAAAATCTGAAACTGCTTGAGTGTCGTATTGTTGTTCAAAAACTTTTTAATTTCATGGGACTTCCGATTTCAGGATTGGGAATCCTCATCCTGCAAAGTCTATGCAAATATTCCAAAATCTGGAAAACTCTGAAACACTCTAGTACAGAGCGTCTCAAGATAAGGGATCTTCTGTGTGTGGATTGCGAACAAGCTGGTGGCAGCTCTAGTCCCAACCCACCTTATCTACTGAGCAATTGGAAATTTTAGAAATCTCTCTCTCTCTCTCTCCTCTCTCTCTCTCTCTCTCTCTCTCTCCCTCTCCATCTGAGAAAGGCTTGTGACTTTTCCAGGTATTATTATTCATGTAAACCACATTCAGTATCCATCTTCCACATGTCCCTATCACCATACCTCCCTCCACCCAGGTCTGAGAGGAACGGGTCAGCCACCAGAGTGGACATCATCTGCACCCATCGCTCTGAGCCCACCGGCACGGGGCTGGACCGAGAGCTGCTCTACTGGGAGCTGAGCCGTGAGACTCGTGGCGTCACCCGGCTGGGCTTCTTCACCCTGGACAAGGACAGCCTTTATGTCAACGGTGAGCGGGGCTACGGATGCAGTGCGCCTTCCCCCTGGGTCTGATGGCAGGCTATGTGCCCTGGGGTCAGAACACAGAGACTGGCATATGCAGAGCTTTTCTGGAGAGATCCGACTCCTAGAGAAGGGCAGTGGGGTGGGGTGGACAGACGGCAGAAACGTGAACTGCATGAACCTAATCCAGGAACTCTCCCCTTGCTCCAGTTGTATTCTCTGGGATCTGGCTATGGTCTGTGCGTGGAGAGCACTCTCTAAATATGACTTTTAAAGAAATCCATGGGGCCCCAGTCCCCATCCTTCCTGTCTTCATGGTCTCTCTCTCCTCCTTCTCTCTCTCTTCAGGTTACACGCACTGGGCCCTGACTCCTGTCCCCACGAGTGAGTACCTTGGGTCCTAGTACTGGTCTGCCTCAGAGCCCATCCATTCGCTCACCTGTCCTCTACCCCACGTCCCCAGAGAAGGAAGGGGCCCAGAAAGCCCCAGTCCTTCCCCAGCCCAGAAAAGAAATGCCCACCACCTTGGGGCTGGGGATGTGGCTCAAGAGGTAGCACGCTCGCCTGGCATGCGAGCGGCCCGGGTTCGATCCTCAGCACCACATACCAACAAAGATGTTGTGTCCGCCAATAACTAATAAATAAATAAATATTTAAAAAAAAAAAAAAAAAAAAAAAAAAAAAAAGAAATGCCCACCACAAGCTTGAAGCAGAAGAGGAAATGGCCTTAGGGTTCCCTCATGGGCCCTCCTTGGCCGGGGAGCCCCTTTCTCCCACCACCTGTGCCTCTCTGTGTTCTCTCCTCAGCTGATATGGCCTCTGTCATCTCCCCGGTGACTTCTGCACTCCCGGCCCCAATCTCCACAGGTAGGAGCTTCCTGTGGGTGACTCCTCCCGTGCAAAGCTCAGGGGTCCTGGGCCAGTGGGAGGCACCGTTCATTTATCCATGGGACAAGGACATATTAAGGCTCTAATAATGTAGCATCAATGGAATAGCAATGGCCCTGGTCTTTGATGGGCTCCCAACAGGGAAAACAGAAAAGAAAGAGGTGCGTGTGCAGCCAACGGCTGGCTCACAATGAGTCTCTGGCATCAGCTTAGCAGGCATGTCGGAGCTTCTCTCTGTGGGCTTAATTCCAGGAAAGAAGGACATGGCGTGAGCTACGCATAGACCTGGAAGCCACCTTCTTGCAGGTCATGCCGACTTAGGGTTTGGGGCAGACTCTGCTCTCCACGGGCCCAAGGTGGATTTCCATACCACCCTTGGCCCTGCGGAGGCCCCGGATAAGCTGGCCTCATTGCTGACCCGGGTCTGTAGTTAGACATCGGCTCAAGTCTCCAGAGAGTGTTCCGACCACTGACCCCTCAGGCAGACTGGGCTGTCATTGTTCCTGTCCATGGCCCATGAAGCCTGGGTTCAAATCAGGTTCTGCCATTTAGACCTTGTGGGATTCGTGGCAAACTATTCAACTTCCTGTTGACTCAGTTTTTACCTCTGTAAAGTTGGCATGGTAACACGTGATGTCACGCTCCAAAACCATGAGTTCACTGTAAAGAAAGCATTTAAAACAGGGTCTTGGGTGTAAAAATGCAGTAAGATGGTTTCTTCAAATATTTTTTTCAATCAATGAATATGTGGATCTCAGAGAAACAATCTGCGCTAAACAGAAACTCAGGAGAGGAGACGGTCAGAGTTTAGTCAACTGGAGAGTCAGGCGCGTGTGCTCTCTGCTTGAGGAAGCGCTTATCTCCCTGGAGTCCCCCACTCAAGGCTCTCTGTTGATGCTGACGTCCGGGGTCTCCTCCATCCCTCCTTGAGGAAGACCCTCCCCAGGGCTTGAAGACACGTGTGAGATGCCCCACACGCAGCTTCACAGACCTGGAATACTCAGTGGGTGTCTTTCTCCAGCCACCCCTACAGCGGCTGGCTCTATGCTGGTGCCGCTCACCATCAACTTCACCATCGTTGATCTGATGTACGAGGAGGAGATGCGTCAACCCGGATCCTGGAAGTTCAACATCACCGAGAGAGTGCTCCAGAAGCTGGTAAGAACCGGGCCCTCTGCTTCTTGCCCCACCCACCTGAGCAACGCCACGCCCTTGGAAGAAGACCCACCCACCTCCCCCGCCTACCGCAGGGGCCAGCCCCGCCCACCTCACGTCTGCCCCGTCCCTGTTCCCTCAGCCCTTCTCCTGACCTCTCTCTCCTTCCTCCCCAGCTCAGGCCCTTGTTCAAGAACACCAGTATCGGCCCTCTGTATTCTGGCTGCAGGCTGACTTTGCTCAGGTGAGTCCTTAGAGAGCAGACCAGGGCTTCCCAGTTGCTCCCAGGCGGCAGGAATTTGGTTGGCTTCTTTCCTGCCTCTGGATGTCCTCAGCAGAGGTGGAATTCAGAAGGCACTGGCTGCAGCACCAAAATGTCTCCTTATCCCACTGCTTCCCCAGGACCACCCACCTGTGCCGGAATTCTGCAGAATCCAGCAGCAGGGCTGGACCCCTGAATTCTCCAACCCTTTTAAAAGAACCACTTATCCTTTAGATTTCAGTTCTGTCACTAGGATTTTTCTCAAAACAAACACATTTTCTTCATTTGCTTGAATGCCCAACTTCAGGTCTTCGCCTGTCTCAGGTGTGACCTGTCCTGTCCCCATGCCATGAGGATGTAGGTTTGAATCTTACATGGAATAAGAGTTCTCCAATCCGTGACTCTGCTCACAGTCCCAGGCTGGCTGGAAGTCAGCACCCTCAGAAAGATTTCTAAGTCTGGCTTCTCACCTCTCTGTCATTGCCACTGCCCCTGCCCTACACATTCCATTGACTGTCATTTCCCCCACCTGTCCTCGCCAGATCTGAGAAGGGTGGAACGGCCACTGGAGTGGATGCCGTCTGCACCTACCACCCAGACCCCTCAGGCCTGGGGATGAACAGAGAGCGGCTGTACTGGGAGCTGAGCCAGCTGACCCACGGCATCACCCAGCTGGGCCCCTACACCCTGGACAGGAACAGTCTCTATGTCAATGGTGAGCAGGGGCCATCTTGCTCTGCTGTGTGGCAGGGTCCAGCCATGTCCTCCCCTCCCATTCCCTCACCCCTCCCCTCCTCACCCTTTCTTTCTTTATCTCCAACAGGTTACACCCACCAGATCATGGCCACCACCACCAGGAGTGAGTATTCTGAGGCTTTGTAAGTCTCCACCCTCCCTATAAGTCCCTGTCCTTTGGAATGAAAGAAGCCAGAACCCAGTCTCCACTTCACACCCTACGCCACCTCCAGTCTAGGGTGAACAGGGTCTTCCTCCCTAAAAAGCCCCGGGGCCTGGCCATTTCCCTCCTGCTCTCTCCAAGGTAACAGAGTCCCTACTTCAAACATGAGGTTTTTTTCACCCCAGCTTTTATGAAGGCCACCATTTCTGCAGGGGTGCTGACCCCTTTCTGCAGTCCTACAGATAGGAATTCTCCTCTCCAAAGATGGTTCCAGTGGTGTCTCTAATCACAGCAGGCAGTAGGAGGGGTGGAGTAGGTAACCTGTCTCAGGAGTCCAAGGTTGACTCTTGACGTGGCTGACAGGGTCTTCCCAGGACCCTGAGAGATCCTTGAACACAGGTCCCCAGCACTCAGCATCCTCAGCCATTCTCTGGGACCTGTTTCTGAACCTATAGCTGACCTTCACTCCTAAATCCTTCCCCAACCCTTGGAGGAACACAAACCAGCCAACCTATTTGCCAAGAATAGATTTGTGCAGTGGCCTGAGCAACAGAGACCAAGTCAGTAAAAGATCATTTCCAGAGTTTAGACCATTAGCCAACTGCCCAACAGCTTGTTTTCATGAATACTGCTCTTGAATAGGTAAGACTACCCTTGCTACTTCTTTCTGAATGCATTGCTGTGGGTATATACATACATCCTCTCCCTGGCTCTATGCAGGGAATATGGTCCTTTCCTTTAAGTGGAATGTTAAGGAGAGTTCCATTTCTCCAAAATCTAGGAACCATGAGATTGTTTCTGTATTCATGCATATTTAATGTATTTGTTCCCAACCCCTACAACTATTTTATTATGAAATTGCCAGAAATAACAAGAAACATTCAAAGAATAGCCCAAGAAGCATCCATACTGTCCACCCTGGGATTCAACAGTTGCTGACTTCCCGTTTGCTTCTTGTACCTAGTAAGCTGTGCTATAACATGACCTAGGAGTTCCTCAAAATTATCACATGGTGAAAAACATGGGGCAGATGGAGAAAATGGGATTGGGATACCACACTTGGAAATATGGTCAGCAACAAAGGAGATCAGAATCTAATGCAACATCACGGTCTCACATACATTAAAGAGTTAGGAAATATGCAGATACCACACTTAAGTACAGCACTTTATCCGTGGGGTCGAAACTTGTGGGTTATTTACAGGTGGTGGAAGGAAAGTTATCTGAAATAAGACAAAGTTCCATCTTCAGAGAGGAGAATTCCTATCTGTAGGACTGCAGAAAGGGGTCAGCACCCTTGCAGAAATGGTAGCCATTATATTCAAATTCTTTCAAATGGCTTTCTTTTATAATCTCAGTATCCTCCTAACAAAGGGGCATGGAGGAAGCCAGCAGGTCTTTTGTTTGCCACCAAACAAAACCGAGACAGAATCCAATAAAAATGGAACAACAAAAATTCATTATAGCCTTTCTATCCTCCTGACGTGTGCATCTGTCCTTTCTCCCTATCTGTTCCTCAGACGCAAATAGTTTTTCCTCAGATGTGAGCGGTTTTTCTTCCGTCTCACTCATCTCCAGGGACAGGCAACTTAAAACAAAAATGAAGCAAAACAAAAGAGGAAACTTAGAATGGCTACCCATCCTCTCGCTCTGCCCTCAGGGGCGAGCAGTTTACTTACCCTCAGTCGCTCCCCGTGCGAGCCACCAAATGCCGCAGTCTGGCTGGGCACAATTCAGGAGCCACTTGTCAAAAGAAACTAACTTTATTTTTAGAACTACAAACGCCAAGCAAAACAGCTCCTCAGGAAAAAACCCTCAGAGCCCAACTGCCACCACCAGCTTCCACAAGCCTCTCACCCACACCAGCCTCTCCACCTCCCACAATCCTCCTGCTCTTGAGGCCGATTGGCTGGGTTATGTGGGCGGAGCCAAAGAAGTCCCCCAATGAGCAGTTCCGTAGTCTGAAGGGCAGGGAAACAGCCCAATGAACATCACTGCAGAGGAGCCAATCAGCTAGATGTTGCTGGGGCCGCTGTGAGCCAATCATCAGCTGGCAGTCTGAAGGGCAGGGAAACAGCCCAATGAACATCACTGCAGAGGAGCCAATCAGCTAGATGTTGCTGGGGCCRCTGTGAGCCAATCATCAGCTGGCAGCTGGAAGTTTGCTGGGGCCCCTTTGGCTGTGGCTCTCAACAGGCTTTCTTTTATAATCTCAGTATCCTCCTAACAAAGGGGCATGGAGGAAGCCAGCAGGTCTTAGAGGTGTGTGCATGTATGCGCATGTTCATATGTATATGTGTGCCAGCCATTTTGTGCAAGGTCATGATTTTCTGCACTTAGTATTTCACTTGTGTGTCCTGCAATTGCARCTGCACATAAGCAGATGTGGAATTTACATTATGTTCAAATTAGGTCCTAAGATATCAGTGAGCCTGAAAAAAAAAAATCATGCTCTCAAAACAAGCAGCATTGTAGAACTGACCATGTAGATGTCAACAGAATTTTTTTTTCTGGTCTGAGCCATTTGAAAATAGCACATAGTACAATGCTTCACTGCTAAATAGGTCAGTAAGAATCAGAAAAATATCAGTTCATTGTCCTAGATAACCACATCACGCTTCAAAAATGACGATGAGGCTGGGGATGTGGCTCAAGTGGTAACACGCTTGCCTGGCATGCGTGGAGTGCTGGGTTCGATCCTCAGCACCACATAAAAATAAAGATGTTGTATCCACCAAAAAAGTAAAAAATAAATATTTAAAGAAATCTCTATCTTTAAAAAAAATGACGATGATGCATCCATATCATCTAACCTGCCATATTCAAATTCTTTCCAATGTCTTTCTTTCATAATTAGCCTTTTTCAAAATTGAAGTTCCAATCAAATTTCTCATATWGATTATGTTAGTGTTTCATGTATCTTTTAGTGTACACAAGTCCTACTCAGAAGCCCAGTTTTTAAAATCATAACAATGACTTTTGGGGTGGGGAGAGTACCAAGGATTGAACCCAGGGTGCATAACCACTGAGCTATATCCTCAGCCATACACACACACACACACACACACACATATACATATATTACATACATTACATATATACATTTTTTTGAGATAGGGTCTCATTAAGTTGCGTAGGGTCTCACTACATTGCCCAGGCTGGCGTTGAACTTGTGATCTCCTGCCTCAGCCTTCTGAGTCGCGCAGGATTAACAGCAGACACCACCATGTCTGGCACAACATTGACTTTTAAACACAGCAGACCAAAATCTCATCCCACGATCTGACTTTGTYTAATTACTTCCAACATCTTGTTACAGAAGAATATAATTAGAAGGAATTAGCCAAAATATAAGTCTTGTGAAATCAGCAACTTTGATAAATTAGGAAAAAAATTATTTGCTGAATTTCTGAGATTTGGGAGGGAARGTCCTCTACTATACCCTGGTRTGAGAAAGAAATTAGTTCAAGCCARTACAAGCAAGTATCCCTTAAATCCCCACTGTCACCTGTTCTGACCTCTAAACCCGTAGAGGGGGAGGAATTGGGGGACTGATCAAGGAAAGCAAGATATGACCACTAGATGGCAGTCACACGCAGTGTGTGCATGCAAGGGAAGTCCCTTGAAACAGGACCATCTGGAACTAGGGTCAGGGGTCACTTCTCAGGAAGGCAAGGGAACTCCTCAGGGAGAGGGGCAAGTGGAGTTTCTAAGTCAGAGCGCTCTGAAGGAGAACAGAAGTTTCGGGTGTTTATAGCCATAGAATTTACCTTTTTGATATCCAGGAGATGTTAGGGGTGGTTTCCTCGAGTATGCAAAGAAAGCAGGTTCTGAATGGCTAAAATTTGCTTATTTTGGCTTTGTTGAAACAACAGGATGTGTAAAAATTTGATAGAGATGCTGGCAAGCTTTTGGGTGAATGGATCCAAGCCTGCTGAAGAGAAATAGATATTTAAAAAAAAAAAATCTGGGAACTAAAATACAGGCGTCATATTTGACCTGTTTATGAAACACCCAGATGTGGCATAGAACACAGAGCCTCCCCCACTCCCCACCCTCCCTCCCCCTCCCACAGGGATCCACACCCAGGACAGGTCCAGGTGTAAGCTCCCCTCCCTGGCATCTCCAAGGCCATGGGGCCGGCTGAGCAGGCAGGGCTGTGTCCCTGCAGCCCTCTGCCCCCTATCTGGTCCAGGCCTGACCCAGGACATGACCCTTCCCCCTCTGGTTCCTCCACCCCAGCTGCCAGCCTTACCCTGCAGCACTTCACCGTCAACTTCACCATCCTCAACCTGCCCTACATGGAGGACATGCAGCCCGGCTCTGTGAGGTTCCAGTCCACAGAGACAACTCTGCAACACCTGGTGAGAGCCCCCAGCCACCACCCCTCTTTCTCAACTCCCCCCACCCACCCTCTTTGAATCTCCCTGCTCAATTTTGGAAGATTTAAAGGATTCAGAAATTGGAACTGCCCCACAAATTAAAAAAAAAAAAAAAAAAAAAAAAGTTCTGTATAATCCAGCTATACAACTCCTGGGCATGTATCTGAAGGAAATGAACTTAGCATACCCAAGAGATATCTACAAACCATATTTATTGGGGCACTATTCACAGTAGCTAAGATATGAAATCAAYCTWGGTGCCCATCAACAGATGAAGGGGTAAAAAATATGTGATATTATGTACACCTATATGTATACACACACATATACTCACATAAATACATAAGTACGTACACACACAATGGAATATTACTCATCCATAAGGAAGGATGAGATCCTGTCATGTGCAACTACCTGGCAAACATGATGTAAAGAGAAACAGGCCAGACACAGAAAGACAAGCACATATGTTCTCATCCTGTATGTGGATGCTGAACAGTCAACCTGAATGTAGAACAGTGGTTACTCCAGGTGGGAAGGATGTGCCTTCTGGGTAGGGGGTGGACAAAGAGAGGCTGGATTTGGTCACTGCCCACTGTGTGCATCAATGGAAATACCACACTCGGGGGCTGGGGCTGTGGTTCAGTGGTGGAGCGCTTGCCTAGCCTGTGTCAGGCACTGGGTTCGGTTCTCAGCACCACATACAAATAAACAAAAATCAAGTTCTATCAGCAACTAAAAAAAAAAAAAAAAGAAAGAAATACCACACTAAACCCCCTTAATATGTACAGTTAGCAGATATAAATCAAAAATGAAAGATAATAAACAGTGGCTGAGGAGGAGCTCAGTGACAGAGTGCCTACTCGGCATGTGCCAGGCCCTGGCATGAAAATAAATAATTTTTAAATATTGTGTTTTAAAATGACCATTCCTTTGACATTCATCTTCTCACTGACCCTCTCCTTCCTCGTCAGCTCAAGTCCTTGTTCACCAACTGCAGCATCGGTTCACTCTACGACGGGTGCACACTGTCCTTACTGAGGTGAGATTCCCTTCCGTGTTGCCTTAGCAGAGGTGGTAAGGCATGGGCAGGTTGCACTGGCCAGGATCTGGACCAGGTGAAACAAAGGAGGTCTCAGGGCACCAAATTTAGGAATGTGCTCACTTTCAGGTGCCACCTCTGCTCCTGTACAACCCTGAGAGCACCCGAGACCTCCCAGGCTCCCGTCGCCCTCCTCCCAGTCCTGTGTGCTGGTCTCTGTAGAACCTCTCAAATCCACAATCACACCTGCAAGACCTGAATAAGCCGTTTGGCTTCCATTTCACTTAGAAGAAAAAGGACAGGGCCAACAGGGCAGTGTCTGGTGTTTCATTTTTGAGAGAGCCCTTTTGGTAGTCCAAGGGTTGTCATTCTTCTCAGCATCTCAGGTGACAATTCATATGCAAGGAATCAAGGCCCCAGTGGCCAATGGATTTGCCTTGACTTAGAAATATCCCATCCCAAAGGAAAACCAAGCGGTTCTACCTAGCTAACCAGGTCAACACACCCAAGGCAGCTCCAAGTCAGACCTTCCTGCAAGGGATGGAGGTCCATTTATGGTCCTCCCAGAAAAAGGTCTAGTCATTTTCACCAGGTGCAATATTTCCAGACGACATGACTAATGTTGCACTTTTATCAAGCTTCTAATAGACCAGCACTAGAATCTGCTTAGCTCAAGGTCAATTCCATCATTCTGAGATACAAAGGACACTCTGTCCTTGATCATGCTCTCTGGCAGGACAATATAGTGAACCTTACAGGTTCTCCCTTCAGGGCCCACTTTTCCTGCTGCCCCAATGAGACAGGAATGGAAAATCTGTGGTCACTGGAAAGTTGAGCTATACAGTGTCTTGTGCTCAGATGGTCAGACCCAGAAACTGGGTTGGATCCACTCTCCAAGAGTTGACGCATTTCTGTTCAGAGCTGGCTGTTCATTCTCACCAGCGACTGTGGTGGGTCCTTTGTAAATATTTGTTTAATTAAGAATATTTGTTTAATTAATGTGCACCTGTATTATAGCCAGCACCAGGGATGGATATTTTTCATCACTTCTGAATCCCATGACACTCCAACCCCATGGTCAGGGCATTATCCGTTCAGTACAAATGGGAGACTCGGGAGTCAAAGCAGATGAAACATGCACCCTGGTCCTTTATGGCTCAGGGATGCCCCTGCTCTTGAGGGCAGCTCACGCCTGGACCTGGAGGGCAGTTTAGCAGGCCTCCACATCCAAGGGGGCTGAAAGAAAGATGTCCAACCAAGGATGCCCTTCTGCCCCATCCTCACCCCATGTCCTTACCTCTCCAGGCCTGAGAAAGGTGGGACAGCCACTGGAGTGGACGTCATCTGCACCTATCATCCTGACCCTGGGGGCCTCGGGCTGGACAGGGAACAGCTCTACTGGGAGTTGAGCCGCTTGACCCACGGTGTCACCCGGCTTGGCTCCTACATCCTGGACAGAGACCACCTTTATGTCAATGGTGAGCATCTTGCAGCCATGAGGTCTCCTCCGGCACCCGGGGGGCAGGGGGACCCCAGTGGCTACTCATCTCTGGCTAGAGGACACATCAAATCCATCTGCTTCTGGATTTCTCTCTCTCGCCCTCTGGAAGGGAAGCCACCCCCTGACCAGGGTCACTCTGATGGCAGCTCCCACCAGTGCTCCATCCCTCCAGGCCTTCCTCCTCATTCTTGTTCACTCTCTGCAGGTTTCACCAGGCCAGTCCTGACCTCCCCGGCCCCTGGTAAGTGCTCAGACCCCCAATGGCCCCCCGCCTCCACCGCCCCGTGAGGGGGCAGCTGGTCACCTCCCACAAAGTCCCTCATGGAGGAGGGAAGCCTCAGGACCTGGTCAGCCCCACCCCCAGCTCTCCTCTGTGACTCAGGCTGGGCACCAAGGCCCCTCTTTCTGGCACCGCCAGTGTGACGAAGCAACATGGCACTCATTTCCCATGCTTCCTCCCCAGCTGCTGTGTCTTCCCCGCTCTCCTTGGGAACCTCGACTGCGTTAACCACAGGTAGGAGCCTTGTCTCCATGTCTGCTCTCCTCCTGATCACGTGTCTTGACGCTGAGCAGTGAGAAGGGGTGATAAATATGCACAGGAGGTCAAGGCAARGAGACAGTGTGGAAACGATGAATGTTTCAGGCTACACCCTGGTCACAGGGCAGTTCAGTTCCATCCCTAGGTTGGAGAGCTCTGTGACATCAGGTTTTCCGCCTTGGCCTGAGGCCCTGGAGTCTGAAATCCAAGCTTTGCTCTCTGTTGAAGGGTTGTACCCGTTAGCTTTTACTGCATAACAGACGYCCCTGATCCCTCGTGGAACAGACTYTCATGTACTAAAATGGTGTGGGGTGTTGGGAAAGTGATTTAAATTTTTTTGAACGTGATTTTCATCTTCTGGCAGTTAGGAGTCAGCGATAGGACTCACCTCCAGGGATTGTGTGAGAGAATACATGAGATACTGGATGGAGAATGCTTAAGACCAAGGGGTAGCAGGGAGTGAGGTCTACCCGACATTATCATTATTATTATTATTGCTGCTACTTATTGTCATTGTCATTGTTGTTGTTGTTGGTGGTGGTGGTGGTGTCTTTCAAAATAAAGTGGAGAGACACTTCCTCCTATTGGAGGAGAGACATTCTGATCTCTTATCCCAGATGTGAATACACTGGGTACCAGGGATATGGACTTGGAGTCCTCCTCAACCCCCAAATCTACTTCGTAGTATAACCCGGGGCTTAACTTCTCCCCCAATCTCACAGCAGTCCCTGGCGCTGCTCTAGTGTCATTCAGCCTTAACTTCACCATCACCAACCTGCTTTATGTGGAGGATATGCAGCTCCCAGGCTCTGTGAGGTTCAACAAAACCGAGAAGGCTCTGCAGAAGCTGGTGAGAGACCCACCCACTTCCCCTGCCCCGCCCACTCCCCTAGCCACGCCCACTCGCCATAGCTCCACCCATTCGTCGCGGCCCCCTCCCACTCAGGTGTTCTATTCACTTCTATCCACAGCTCAGGTCCCTCTTCCAGAGCACCAGTGTCGGCCTGCAGTACTCTGGTTGCAGACTGATCTCTCTCAGGTAAAATCTCCAGAGAAGATGTCCAGGAAGGAGACATGGTGGAAATTCTTATGTGTAATTCATTAGGACTTGGCCCTTTCCTGGGAGATTCTTATGTGTAATTCATTAGGACTAAGTCCTCCCTTTGACTTGGCCCTTTCCTGGGAGATTCTCCTTGAATTCCTATCCCACCCCGGACCATTGTCCAGACCTTCCCATCCTCCTGAGCCTCAAGTCTCCTAGGTATTTCCTAGAAACAAACTGAGGAAACAGGCAACTTGGAAATATGAACCAAACTTCTTTACAACGGAGACACTTACAGCATAGAAATAGAGCCCACAACATCTATCTTCCCCTGAAGGTCAATGCAAAATAAGCAATTAGTATGTGCCAGACACTGGGGTGAAGGACCTGGGGTCTTCCCACATTGGCACCATGGAGATTCTGAACCATTCTTATTGTGGGTGGCTGTCCTCTGCATCATAGGGCATTGAGCAGCATCTTCGCCTCTAAATTACAAGCTAGATGCCTTTGGACCCCATCCTCTCCCCACCCCCGCAGTTGGGACAACCAGAAATGACTCCAGACCTTACCAGATGTCCCCCAAGGGTACAAGTTGCCCCTGGTTTAGAAGCACCAGATTTCAACATCCTGATAATTATCCCAATTTTACAAATGAGAAGCCAAGGCACAGAAAAGGCGCTGAAAACCCAGAACTAAGGACCTGCCAGGTACAGGACCAGGATTCACGTCTAGGGGAAGCATGTGCCTTTCCCCACAGAACTGCCCGGCCTCTTCCTTGAGAAGAGCCACAGCGCCCTGTGTCTATACCAACAGCTTCAGTCCTCACAACGCAGGACCCGGTATTATTACATTAGTACCTCATATTATTACATGATGCCCATCTTATAGCTGACCAACAGGCCCAGAGAGACTGCTGATGTATCCAGAGGAGGGAAGGGTGGCGAGTCAAGGAGGAAACTAGATGCTCTTACCTGGAGGGGAAGGTGATGTCCCATGTCTGCTGCAGGGAAAGTAGGTGGGGAAAATGTAGCCAGAGGCAGAGCAGAAATCCTAGCCGCACAGGAGGGGGCAGAGTGGACAGCAGTGGGGCAGCCTATGGATGTGCCCAGATTCACAGCAGGACATCAGGAATTCACTCACCGAGGGGAGAGATCCATGGATGGATTTCAGCAAATGTCTAACAAGAAAAGATTTGCAGCTAGAGTGAGAATTAGCAGCCTTGGTGGGAATGGATCATGAAGTACAGGGCACCAGAGACGAGGCCTAGAATTCAGGAGGTGAAGGAAAGGGCGTGCCGCAGGGTGGGGACAAGCAGCATCCAGGGTGTTAGAGCTACACCGCCTTCTGACGCGGCCTATGGCACTCTTGTGGTTCTGCCAGAGAAACGCATCAGGTGGTTCCCTTGTCTGCATTCCCAGATTCCTCCTTCCACAGGCTGAGAAACACCAAGGAGCCACCAGATCCTCAAACTCTGGCTTCTTRCCTCTGTAYCAGGCTTCTCATTTCCTCACGCTGCCTCCTGTCCCAGCCCCAGGCTCCAAGCACGCTTTCTCCCCAACCCATTCCTGGTTACCCACCCCACCATTTCCAGGCCAAAGAATGGCGGCGCCGCCACAAGCGTAGATGTGCTCTGCACCCACCACCAGAAATCGGGGGCTCCAGAGCTGGACAGAGAGCAGCTGTACTGGGAGCTGAGCCTGCTCACCAAAGGGGTCACTCAGCTGGGCAGCTACACCCTGGACCGGAACAGTCTCTTCGTCAACGGTGAGCAGGGCCATCTTGCTCTGCTGCATGGTGGAGCCCACAGCATCCCCTTCCAAGCCTCCTCAGTCCTCCTCCCCTCCCAGCACCTCCTCACACTCCCTCTCTCTGGCTCTCTGCAGGTTACACCCACCGGACTGCAATGACCACCACCAGTGGTGAGTAGTCAGTGGCCCTCCGAAGTCCCCCAGCCACAGCCAGAGCAGGAAGCACCAGGCCCTGACCTCATCCCCAGTGGCCCAGGAAGGAAGAAGTTGGGGTCACAGGCTGGGAAGTCCTTGCAGTCATATTATCACCCCGTGTCGTTGGACACTTCTGGCCATATTTCCTTGGAAACAGAGAAATGTCACTGAATGATAATTGGGTGGAGAGATGAAAGAAATAACGGGACAACTCACTAGAATTGCTGCAAATAAGAACTGCCACATTGTGCCYTCTATACCTGCAGTATGTGATGACCAAGCAGAGGCCACACTGATGATTCAGGCATTAGGCCCCCAGGACCCTCGTCCACTGCTCTGGTCTCCAGTGTGTCGGTCACTGGTGTCAGGCCTGTGGCCACAGACCTGCCTGCCTGCTATATCCACCCCAGGCCTGACTCAGTGTGGCCTCTCCCCTCTCCTCTTCCCTGCTGTAGTGACRGGACTGGCCCTGGAGTCCATCACCATCAACTTCACCATCACCAACCTGCAGTACAAGGAGGACATGCAGCCCCCAGGGTCCTTGACYTTCAAGACCACAGAGAAGGCTCTGCAGCTCCAGGTGAGAACATCCAGCCCCTGTCTCCACTCGTGCCTGCCCTGCCCACATCCCTCAAGCCCCGCCCAGTCACTGCTGCCCCTCCCACTGGTCACTCCCCTCTCCCCGTACCCTAAGCCTCCTTCACTGAGGACAACCCCTGTCAAGGATGAGCACGGAGCCATGCATCTCCTAATCTCTTACTCTCTCCTCCACAGCTAGGGCCCTTGTTCAAAAACACCAGCGTGGGTCCCTTGTACTCTGACTGCAAAGTGATTTTGCTCAGGTGAGACCTCAGAGCCACAGCCAACAGATGTCCCACGTGTTCCCAAACCGGGCAATGGGGTCATCTTCCTCCTGCACTCCCTTTTGGACATCCTCGGGTGTTATGGCATCTTCTGGGTAACCAAGATGTGTTYGGATTCTACCACCTTCTCCCCGATAAGTCCTGGAATTCTGCCAAGCCCAKGAGCTGGAGGGGACCCCACCAAGTCACATTTTCTAAATTAAGACTTTCCCCTCTGAACRTTCCACAGGATGGGCCTTCACTTAGGCTTCCAATTCTGCCCGAAATTTCTGTTCAGACTTGCTTGATTGAGTCCAGTCCCAGATTCCACCTGCCTCGGGTGGGAGCTCAGCTGGCCCACGCCATGAGGACGCAGGTTTCTGCCTCATGACGTAACGTTTCTCCCCAGACCAGCGCTTCTCGCAGTCAGAGTGGCCAAAATCACTGCACTTGGAGGCTCTGGGTCTCCTAATTCCCCTCCCTGCCAGGCTTCTCATATCAGTGCCCCTTCCTCCCTGTCCCCAAGAACCAAAGAACCCCTCCATGAAGAGCTGTTGATTGTCATTCCTCTTGCCCTTACTCTCCAGACCCAGGAAAGATGGATTGGCCACCAGGGTGGACGCAGTCTGTAACTACCGTCCTGACCCCATGGGCTCCAAGCTGGACATAAAGCAGCTGTACTGGGAGCTGAGCCAGCTGACCCACGGCATCACCCAGCTGGGCCCCTACACCCTGGAGAGGAACAGTCTCTATGTCAATGGTGAGCAGTGGCCATCTGTTCTGCTATGTGGTAGAGCCCGGGGCGTCCTCCAGGTCTGCGCTGCCTGGGTCCTTACCAACTCACAATTCATATATTCATTCTCCCCACTCCTCCTCTCCCCCTCTCCTGCTGCAGGTTATACCCACCAGGCCACAGCAACGACTCCCAGTGGTGAGTCCACACAGTGACCCTAAGAGAAATCCCTTGACTTCCGGGGGGCAAGCAGCAGACCCCTGCCTACGTACGTTTCCAGCTGTCAGGGAGGACAGGAACCAAGACACAGKCTGGAAAGCCAGTGGGATAGGTCTCAGCTCTGATCACCTTGGGCTGTTGCCTGCACATACACCAAGGTCATTAAATGTACTTTGAGTGGATGAAAGGAAAAAAATAGGTGCAGAATTTGATGGACAAATATCTTATTTAAAAAATTCTTTCATCAGAGCTTTCTGGTTTCCAGATTGGTCCTTCATGGCCTGCAGTGTGTGATAATCCAGGATGGACCACAACTGATTTAGGGGTTGGGACCCAAGAACTCCCAGGGCTGGCTGTATTCTAAAGCGGGAGGGTCCCTGATTTAAGGACCATGGCCACAGACCCTGTCTATCCACTATGTCTACCCAGACCTGACTCAAGGGGACCTCTCCTCTCCCTCCACGGATGCAACCTCAGGACTTCGCCTGCAGTCCTTCACCCTCAAYTTCACCATCACCAACCTGCGCTACGAGGAGGAAATGCAGCCCCCAGGGTCTTGGATTTTCAACAGCACAGAGAAGACTCTGCAGCAGCTGGTGAGCACAGTGCCTGTCCCACTCTGGTCCTGCCCACTGGAGCCAGCCTGCCTGTGTCCCACCCTCTGATGCACCTGTATCCTCCATGAACCCCACACCCACCAATGNAGGATTAACAGCAGACACCACCATGTCTGGCACAACATTGACTTTTAAACACAGCAGACCAAAATCTCATCCCACGATCTGACTTTGTTTAATTACTTCCAACATCTTGTTACAGAAGAATATAATTAGAAGGAATTAGCCAAAATATAAGTCTTGTGAAATCAGCAACTTTGATAAATTAGGAAAAAAATTATTTGCTGAATTTCTGAGATTTGGGAGGGAARGTCCTCTACTATACCCTGGTRTGAGAAAGAAATTAGTTCAAGCCARTACAAGCAAGTATCCCTTAAATCCCCACTGTCACCTGTTCTGACCTCTAAACCCGTAGAGGGGGAGGAATTGGGGGACTGATCAAGGAAAGCAAGATATGACCACTAGATGGCAGTCACACGCAGTGTGTGCATGCAAGGGAAGTCCCTTGAAACAGGACCATCTGGAACTAGGGTCAGGGGTCACTTCTCAGGAAGGCAAGGGAACTCCTCAGGGAGAGGGGCAAGTGGAGTTTCTAAGTCAGAGCGCTCTGAAGGAGAACAGAAGTTTCGGGTGTTTATAGCCATAGAATTTACCTTTTTGATATCCAGGAGATGTTAGGGGTGGTTTCCTCGAGTATGCAAAGAAAGCAGGTTCTGAATGGCTAAAATTTGCTTATTTTGGCTTTGTTGAAACAACAGGATGTGTAAAAATTTGATAGAGATGCTGGCAAGCTTTTGGGTGAATGGATCCAAGCCTGCTGAAGAGAAATAGATATTTAAAAAAAAAAAATCTGGGAACTAAAATACAGGCGTCATATTTGACCTGTTTATGAAACACCCAGATGTGGCATAGAACACAGAGCCTCCCCCACTCCCCACCCTCCCTCCCCCTCCCACAGGGATCCACACCCAGGACAGGTCCAGGTGTAAGCTCCCCTCCCTGGCATCTCCAAGGCCATGGGGCCGGCTGAGCAGGCAGGGCTGTGTCCCTGCAGCCCTCTGCCCCCTATCTGGTCCAGGCCTGACCCAGGACATGACCCTTCCCCCTCTGGTTCCTCCACCCCAGCTGCCAGCCTTACCCTGCAGCACTTCACCGTCAACTTCACCATCCTCAACCTGCCCTACATGGAGGACATGCAGCCCGGCTCTGTGAGGTTCCAGTCCACAGAGACAACTCTGCAACACCTGGTGAGAGCCCCCAGCCACCACCCCTCTTTCTCAACTCCCCCCACCCACCCTCTTTGAATCTCCCTGCTCAATTTTGGAAGATTTAAAGGATTCAGAAATTGGAACTGCCCCACAAATTAAAAAAAAAAAAAAAAAAAAAAAAGTTCTGTATAATCCAGCTATACAACTCCTGGGCATGTATCTGAAGGAAATGAACTTAGCATACCCAAGAGATATCTACAAACCATATTTATTGGGGCACTATTCACAGTAGCTAAGATATGAAATCAACCTTGGTGCCCATCAACAGATGAAGGGGTAAAAAATATGTGATATTATGTACACCTATATGTATACACACACATATACTCACATAAATACATAAGTACGTACACACACAATGGAATATTACTCATCCATAAGGAAGGATGAGATCCTGTCATGTGCAACTACCTGGCAAACATGATGTAAAGAGAAACAGGCCAGACACAGAAAGACAAGCACATATGTTCTCATCCTGTATGTGGATGCTGAACAGTCAACCTGAATGTAGAACAGTGGTTACTCCAGGTGGGAAGGATGTGCCTTCTGGGTAGGGGGTGGACAAAGAGAGGCTGGATTTGGTCACTGCCCACTGTGTGCATCAATGGAAATACCACACTCGGGGGCTGGGGCTGTGGTTCAGTGGTGGAGCGCTTGCCTAGCCTGTGTCAGGCACTGGGTTCGGTTCTCAGCACCACATACAAATAAACAAAAATCAAGTTCTATCAGCAACTAAAAAAAAAAAAAAAAGAAAGAAATACCACACTAAACCCCCTTAATATGTACAGTTAGCAGATATAAATCAAAAATGAAAGATAATAAACAGTGGCTGAGGAGGAGCTCAGTGACAGAGTGCCTACTCGGCATGTGCCAGGCCCTGGCATGAAAATAAATAATTTTTAAATATTGTGTTTTAAAATGACCATTCCTTTGACATTCATCTTCTCACTGACCCTCTCCTTCCTCGTCAGCTCAAGTCCTTGTTCACCAACTGCAGCATCGGTTCACTCTACGACGGGTGCACACTGTCCTTACTGAGGTGAGATTCCCTTCCGTGTTGCCTTAGCAGAGGTGGTAAGGCATGGGCAGGTTGCACTGGCCAGGATCTGGACCAGGTGAAACAAAGGAGGTCTCAGGGCACCAAATTTAGGAATGTGCTCACTTTCAGGTGCCACCTCTGCTCCTGTACAACCCTGAGAGCACCCGAGACCTCCCAGGCTCCCGTCGCCCTCCTCCCAGTCCTGTGTGCTGGTCTCTGTAGAACCTCTCAAATCCACAATCACACCTGCAAGACCTGAATAAGCCGTTTGGCTTCCATTTCACTTAGAAGAAAAAGGACAGGGCCAACAGGGCAGTGTCTGGTGTTTCATTTTTGAGAGAGCCCTTTTGGTAGTCCAAGGGTTGTCATTCTTCTCAGCATCTCAGGTGACAATTCATATGCAAGGAATCAAGGCCCCAGTGGCCAATGGATTTGCCTTGACTTAGAAATATCCCATCCCAAAGGAAAACCAAGCGGTTCTACCTAGCTAACCAGGTCAACACACCCAAGGCAGCTCCAAGTCAGACCTTCCTGCAAGGGATGGAGGTCCATTTATGGTCCTCCCAGAAAAAGGTCTAGTCATTTTCACCAGGTGCAATATTTCCAGACGACATGACTAATGTTGCACTTTTATCAAGCTTCTAATAGACCAGCACTAGAATCTGCTTAGCTCAAGGTCAATTCCATCATTCTGAGATACAAAGGACACTCTGTCCTTGATCATGCTCTCTGGCAGGACAATATAGTGAACCTTACAGGTTCTCCCTTCAGGGCCCACTTTTCCTGCTGCCCCAATGAGACAGGAATGGAAAATCTGTGGTCACTGGAAAGTTGAGCTATACAGTGTCTTGTGCTCAGATGGTCAGACCCAGAAACTGGGTTGGATCCACTCTCCAAGAGTTGACGCATTTCTGTTCAGAGCTGGCTGTTCATTCTCACCAGCGACTGTGGTGGGTCCTTTGTAAATATTTGTTTAATTAAGAATATTTGTTTAATTAATGTGCACCTGTATTATAGCCAGCACCAGGGATGGATATTTTTCATCACTTCTGAATCCCATGACACTCCAACCCCATGGTCAGGGCATTATCCGTTCAGTACAAATGGGAGACTCGGGAGTCAAAGCAGATGAAACATGCACCCTGGTCCTTTATGGCTCAGGGATGCCCCTGCTCTTGAGGGCAGCTCACGCCTGGACCTGGAGGGCAGTTTAGCAGGCCTCCACATCCAAGGGGGCTGAAAGAAAGATGTCCAACCAAGGATGCCCTTCTGCCCCATCCTCACCCCATGTCCTTACCTCTCCAGGCCTGAGAAAGGTGGGACAGCCACTGGAGTGGACGTCATCTGCACCTATCATCCTGACCCTGGGGGCCTCGGGCTGGACAGGGAACAGCTCTACTGGGAGTTGAGCCGCTTGACCCACGGTGTCACCCGGCTTGGCTCCTACATCCTGGACAGAGACCACCTTTATGTCAATGGTGAGCATCTTGCAGCCATGAGGTCTCCTCCGGCACCCGGGGGGCAGGGGGACCCCAGTGGCTACTCATCTCTGGCTAGAGGACACATCAAATCCATCTGCTTCTGGATTTCTCTCTCTCGCCCTCTGGAAGGGAAGCCACCCCCTGACCAGGGTCACTCTGATGGCAGCTCCCACCAGTGCTCCATCCCTCCAGGCCTTCCTCCTCATTCTTGTTCACTCTCTGCAGGTTTCACCAGGCCAGTCCTGACCTCCCCGGCCCCTGGTAAGTGCTCAGACCCCCAATGGCCCCCCGCCTCCACCGCCCCGTGAGGGGGCAGCTGGTCACCTCCCACAAAGTCCCTCATGGAGGAGGGAAGCCTCAGGACCTGGTCAGCCCCACCCCCAGCTCTCCTCTGTGACTCAGGCTGGGCACCAAGGCCCCTCTTTCTGGCACCGCCAGTGTGACGAAGCAACATGGCACTCATTTCCCATGCTTCCTCCCCAGCTGCTGTGTCTTCCCCGCTCTCCTTGGGAACCTCGACTGCGTTAACCACAGGTAGGAGCCTTGTCTCCATGTCTGCTCTCCTCCTGATCACGTGTCTTGACGCTGAGCAGTGAGAAGGGGTGATAAATATGCACAGGAGGTCAAGGCAARGAGACAGTGTGGAAACGATGAATGTTTCAGGCTACACCCTGGTCACAGGGCAGTTCAGTTCCATCCCTAGGTTGGAGAGCTCTGTGACATCAGGTTTTCCGCCTTGGCCTGAGGCCCTGGAGTCTGAAATCCAAGCTTTGCTCTCTGTTGAAGGGTTGTACCCGTTAGCTTTTACTGCATAACAGACGYCCCTGATCCCTCGTGGAACAGACTYTCATGTACTAAAATGGTGTGGGGTGTTGGGAAAGTGATTTAAATTTTTTTGAACGTGATTTTCATCTTCTGGCAGTTAGGAGTCAGCGATAGGACTCACCTCCAGGGATTGTGTGAGAGAATACATGAGATACTGGATGGAGAATGCTTAAGACCAAGGGGTAGCAGGGAGTGAGGTCTACCCGACATTATCATTATTATTATTATTGCTGCTACTTATTGTCATTGTCATTGTTGTTGTTGTTGGTGGTGGTGGTGGTGTCTTTCAAAATAAAGTGGAGAGACACTTCCTCCTATTGGAGGAGAGACATTCTGATCTCTTATCCCAGATGTGAATACACTGGGTACCAGGGATATGGACTTGGAGTCCTCCTCAACCCCCAAATCTACTTCGTAGTATAACCCGGGGCTTAACTTCTCCCCCAATCTCACAGCAGTCCCTGGCGCTGCTCTAGTGTCATTCAGCCTTAACTTCACCATCACCAACCTGCTTTATGTGGAGGATATGCAGCTCCCAGGCTCTGTGAGGTTCAACAAAACCGAGAAGGCTCTGCAGAAGCTGGTGAGAGACCCACCCACTTCCCCTGCCCCGCCCACTCCCCTAGCCACGCCCACTCGCCATAGCTCCACCCATTCGTCGCGGCCCCCTCCCACTCAGGTGTTCTATTCACTTCTATCCACAGCTCAGGTCCCTCTTCCAGAGCACCAGTGTCGGCCTGCAGTACTCTGGTTGCAGACTGATCTCTCTCAGGTAAAATCTCCAGAGAAGATGTCCAGGAAGGAGACATGGTGGAAATTCTTATGTGTAATTCATTAGGACTTGGCCCTTTCCTGGGAGATTCTTATGTGTAATTCATTAGGACTAAGTCCTCCCTTTGACTTGGCCCTTTCCTGGGAGATTCTCCTTGAATTCCTATCCCACCCCGGACCATTGTCCAGACCTTCCCATCCTCCTGAGCCTCAAGTCTCCTAGGTATTTCCTAGAAACAAACTGAGGAAACAGGCAACTTGGAAATATGAACCAAACTTCTTTACAACGGAGACACTTACAGCATAGAAATAGAGCCCACAACATCTATCTTCCCCTGAAGGTCAATGCAAAATAAGCAATTAGTATGTGCCAGACACTGGGGTGAAGGACCTGGGGTCTTCCCACATTGGCACCATGGAGATTCTGAACCATTCTTATTGTGGGTGGCTGTCCTCTGCATCATAGGGCATTGAGCAGCATCTTCGCCTCTAAATTACAAGCTAGATGCCTTTGGACCCCATCCTCTCCCCACCCCCGCAGTTGGGACAACCAGAAATGACTCCAGACCTTACCAGATGTCCCCCAAGGGTACAAGTTGCCCCTGGTTTAGAAGCACCAGATTTCAACATCCTGATAATTATCCCAATTTTACAAATGAGAAGCCAAGGCACAGAAAAGGCGCTGAAAACCCAGAACTAAGGACCTGCCAGGTACAGGACCAGGATTCACGTCTAGGGGAAGCATGTGCCTTTCCCCACAGAACTGCCCGGCCTCTTCCTTGAGAAGAGCCACAGCGCCCTGTGTCTATACCAACAGCTTCAGTCCTCACAACGCAGGACCCGGTATTATTACATTAGTACCTCATATTATTACATGATGCCCATCTTATAGCTGACCAACAGGCCCAGAGAGACTGCTGATGTATCCAGAGGAGGGAAGGGTGGCGAGTCAAGGAGGAAACTAGATGCTCTTACCTGGAGGGGAAGGTGATGTCCCATGTCTGCTGCAGGGAAAGTAGGTGGGGAAAATGTAGCCAGAGGCAGAGCAGAAATCCTAGCCGCACAGGAGGGGGCAGAGTGGACAGCAGTGGGGCAGCCTATGGATGTGCCCAGATTCACAGCAGGACATCAGGAATTCACTCACCGAGGGGAGAGATCCATGGATGGATTTCAGCAAATGTCTAACAAGAAAAGATTTGCAGCTAGAGTGAGAATTAGCAGCCTTGGTGGGAATGGATCATGAAGTACAGGGCACCAGAGACGAGGCCTAGAATTCAGGAGGTGAAGGAAAGGGCGTGCCGCAGGGTGGGGACAAGCAGCATCCAGGGTGTTAGAGCTACACCGCCTTCTGACGCGGCCTATGGCACTCTTGTGGTTCTGCCAGAGAAACGCATCAGGTGGTTCCCTTGTCTGCATTCCCAGATTCCTCCTTCCACAGGCTGAGAAACACCAAGGAGCCACCAGATCCTCAAACTCTGGCTTCTTRCCTCTGTAYCAGGCTTCTCATTTCCTCACGCTGCCTCCTGTCCCAGCCCCAGGCTCCAAGCACGCTTTCTCCCCAACCCATTCCTGGTTACCCACCCCACCATTTCCAGGCCAAAGAATGGCGGCGCCGCCACAAGCGTAGATGTGCTCTGCACCCACCACCAGAAATCGGGGGCTCCAGAGCTGGACAGAGAGCAGCTGTACTGGGAGCTGAGCCTGCTCACCAAAGGGGTCACTCAGCTGGGCAACTACACCCTGGACCAGAACAGTCTCTTCGTCAACGGTGAGCAGGGCCATCTTGCTCTGCTGCATGGTGGAGCCCACAGCATCCCCTTCCAAGCCTCCTCAGTCCTCCTCCCCTCCCAGCACCTCCTCACACYCACKCTCTCTGGCTCTCTGCAGGTTACACCCACCGGACTGTGATGACCACCACCAGTGGTGAGTAGTCAGTGGCCCTCMGAAGTCCCACAGCCAGGGAAGGAAGCAACAGGCCCTGACCACATCGCCAGCAGTCCAGGAAGGAAGAAGTTGGGGTCACAGGCTGGGAAGTCCTTGCAATCATATGATCACCACCGTGTCCTTGGACACTTCTAGGCATATTTCCTTGGAAACAGAGAAAATGCCACTGAATGATAATTGGGTGGAGAGATGAAAGTAATAAATGAACAATTCAATAGAATTACCAGAAATAAAATATTAGATGTTCAACTGTCTCCTTAAAGCTTTAGAGGTTCCACATCTTCCCCTCCCTACCAGTAGGATTCGATGACTGAATGAGATCCACAGTAGTGGCGCAGGGCTTGGGCCCCAAGGACACTACTGCATTGCTGTAGTCTCCAGTGAGATCCTCCCTGATCTCAGGCTGTGACCACAGATCATGCCTGCCCGAAAAATCCACTCAGACCTGACACAAAGGTCCTCTCCTCTCCCTCCCCTGATGCAGCCTCAGGACCTCCCATGGATTCCTTCACCCTCAACTTCACCATCACCAACCTGCGCYACGAGGACGACATGCAGCCCCCAGGGTCCTTGACCTTCAACACCACTCAGAAGGTCCTGCAGCACCTGGTGAGCACAGTGCCTGTCCCACGCTGGTCCTGCCCACAGGAGCCAGCCTGCCTGTGTCCCAGCCTCTGATGCACATGTATCCTCCAGGATCCCCACACCCACCAATGGTGCCATTGCCCACCTCTCAGCTGACCCACTCCCCCCTCTCTCTCCTCCACAGCTCGGACCCTTGTTCA